CCGAGCGTGAAGCCTCCATCGCCAACGTCAGTAGGTGTCGGCTTTGGAATAATCGCCACAACCGTGTTGAGAACTGCATTGCCTACGTTCGAGGCGGTTCGCTCAACCCACTTTCGGGCATAGCGGAGACCTCCCTCTCGCCTGGCAGCCTCGAAGTCGTCATCTTCGTCATCACTATCTGAATCGTAGATGGGGTAATCGTTGTCGGTTGTGCGTCTAGCGGCAACTCGCTCTTCGATATCAAGCACGTTAGGGTCGTTGCCGTTGGTCAGAGTACCGTAATCACGGGCTCTCGCCATCTCATTCTGTTCCATGGTGTCTCTAGCTTCGCGCAGCCTCCTCAACCGATCATCGTCCTGGCTGCCATTGGAAGAGGGGAGGCCAGCGGCCAGATCCTCGTCTTCGCTGTCATCATCATCCAGGTTGCCACTGGTGCTGATGTCGTTGCTTGCACCAGGTCGTTCAATACCAAAGTTGTGGCTGACAGGCTTGCGGATGTCGACATCCATCTGGGGGTACCAGTATGGAAGCAAGTGGATACGCTTGGGGTTGAGCGTGGCTGTACCGTGAATGTACTTGGAGAACTTGGGTACGGCCTCGACCAGATGTGACGAAGTAAGGTCCCTAATCCATTGAGGCGGCTCACCTCCAGCCTGAGTCTGTAGCTTAACTTCGAGGACGGCATAGGGGAAAAGCTCCTTGTCCTCCTTGGGAAGCTGCTTGAAAGGCCAGTCTACACCAATGTCGGTACGACGCCAGTTATCACCAGAGCGGGTCTTTCCGTCCAGATTGTCCTCACGGGTCATGGTGAGCTCAGTGTCAAGTGAGATACGGACACGAGCGTCTCCGGGAAGTTGAAAGGCAGTTCGGTGGTAGAAAGATCTTGTGACGGGCTCCAGCTTACGGGTAAGCACACGGTACTGGATCTCTCGTGCCAGCTGCTCATCGGAGGCAATGTCTTTCTCTGGTCTCTTTTGTTCCCTGCGTTCCTTTTCAAAGATCTGTTCTGGCCTAAGCTCACCACGGAGGTATGCGTTGACATTCTTCTCCTTGAGCTTGAATCGTGCCTTGACAGACTCTTCTCCTGTCCAGTCTTCACGATGCGTCTTGCGTTCGATGAAAATGGTGTCGCTTGACATGCCTCCATACCAACGTAGTCGGATAGCTTCCGCACCTTCGGTCTTCTTCAATCGACCCTCATACAGCTCCCATGTTTCCGTGTTGTCAAAGTAGATGGACGTAATGGCAGCGTCCTCCTCGTTGAACTCCTTGTTAGGGTTGAATACGAGCACAGGTAGGTGCTTGAGGATGATGAGCTTCAGCTCGAGGATGTTGTCTGGGTGTACCCAGTACTTGGTAGTCTGTCGCACAAAGTTCTGCTGCTTTCCTCCTGCTGAAGAATCGCCCTTGACTGGGTTTCCCCGGGTGCGAACAATGTCGTAGAGTTTCGATAGCTTGACGACGTACGAGTCGTAGTTGTCTTGGAAGAAAGGCTTGCGCTTAAGGCGGGCGGCGAAGACGGGTTTGAGGAACCAGCTAGTGTTTTTCTGAACTGAATTAGCATCAGAAAATGCAATCTGCACCCTGTACATACGTCATGTTTCTTGATGATCTTCTGGAAGCCCGTGTAGTTGAGTTGAGTAAACTTGGCGAGGTCGTGGACGTCGGCGATGATGTCGCTCAGGTCTTCCTCGAGCAGATCAAAGTCCTCCTCGTACTTGTCGGGGTTTCCAGGATCCTGCTGGGCGCGCGCGACTGCATCGTTGACCTCTTTCTCCGATGCTGCTATGCGACGAATGATTTCCTCGGCCTTGACGCGCTGGAACGTGTAGACCTTGTCTAGCTCCTTCTCAAGCTGCTCGACGAAGCTCTGCTCCGACTTTTCGTCCCAGACGTGGTGGACGCGCAGCGAGTTCTTTAGGCCTTCATAGTCGATGTAGTAGAAGACCCACTGCTTGTTGAGCGATTGCTTGAGTTGCTGGCCGAACCTGCAAACGCGCATTAGCTCCCGTTGACATCATTTACGCGATGCGACGATTGGACGAAGCATGCGCGAGGGTTGCTGGGGGGTTAGGTGTGGTGGACAAACCTCATGTTGTGTGAGAAGCGGGCAATCAAAGAGCACCGCAAAGATAGCCAAGAGGAGTGAAGGTGGTGTGTTGGGGATGCAAAAGTGCAGTCGAAGCTTCAATGCATCAATGCAGGGCCCCATCAAAAGTTCCGACCCAAGAGTGACGCTCCCCGCGTACCAGCGTGCCTACCCTGGTGGAGCTCCGGGCCCCTAGCGCCGTCTGATGGAGACAGAAACGGGCCTGCCGTGGCATCCAGCCATTGAGAAGGCCCGAGACTCCCACGTGAAATCAATACAACAGGCAGTCTGCTTCCTTCTGTAAAAATGAGAAAAAAGCTTTCCGTTTGGCCCTCTCACAGACGTCATTTGCCTGCATATACGGGTGCATTCTGAAATGGAAAGACTGCCAAGTTTGCTGGCGCTGGTATGGCATCACCAGAGCATCTCGATACAAACTACATGTATCGTGCACGAAAGCAGTCGCCTTGAGTCCTCTAGGTCATGCCTGCGTCTTGTTGACTGGTCTGTCACTCCGCTCGGCTCTTTTGCTGCGATCCCATGCTCTCAAACCATGTCCAAATTTGGTCATGCAAGGATCCACTGTCGAAACAATAGCTTTACTTGCTTTCTGACCATGCCGTGTCAGGCTTCGACACAACAACAACCCTGTCTGGCTTGTTGTTGTTATGGCTGTCTCACATGAGCTCTGCTAACACAGTCGTCACATTGTTTTTACAGACTTGGTAATAGTCATACGTGGGAGGAGAGCCGTGGCTGATAGGATATAGGATTTTTATTCGGAGAGCTAATTCTAGCACCCTTCCAAAGACAAACTAAAGGTACCAACACATTCAACCATGTATCGCGATGATACAATAAACTCCACGCAGCGCCGTGCTCCAAAGCCGTGCTCGGCGGGTATCGCAGATAAATCATAAGCGGACCAAACGTATAGTTGTAAAAGAGGGCGTGAAGTGGGTGGCACGCACAATCGCTAGGCATCACGATCATGCAGCGCCTCATTAGGAAACGTGCCTGCGGGACTGACATGCTGGCTGGCTTCTGGGCTATTGTTCTTGCTTGCTTCGGGCGAAGGGGTATGTAACCGTGAGACAATGTATAGGTCGTCGTAGCTGCCTAGTATCATGTGCTTCCACCTTGCCAGCGTAGGCAGGCCTACGTTGGCGACGGAAGCCTTGAGTGTGGGCTTCTCTGCGTACTTTTCGCGCTCCGCAGGCGATAGTAGATCTTCGTTGAGGATGTCCAGTCGACTGTTGCCGCGAGGTATGGATTTTCTTGTAACACGTAGAAATGGCAACGAGGGGTCTAGTTTTACTAGCGTTAGAGTCACCATGTTCAGGCAGATGGATATAGGCCAGGCAGCACTCACCATTATCAAGCTCGGCGCAGAGCTCGCCCTCCGTCTTAAACTCTAGGCCTTTTGCACCAGAGCGATATTTGTATACGAGGATAGATTTTTTGCCATTTTCGTCCAGGTCGAACAGCGAGCTTGCTTTACTGGACTCTGAGCCCGATGTCGACACCGACTTGAACGTCATACTGCCTTCTAGCATTCGTGCGGTGACTGAAGGAGGAAAGTGAGGAGGACTAGGGAGAGAGCAGGGACCGAAGTCGGTGGGGCCTTGGTATGGGTGAGGATGTTTGGGTTTGCGAAGGACAACCAGGTGGAGTGTGCTTTGTATAGCCGTGGATGGCGGCGGGTCTGGTGAGTGGAAGGGTGGGTGTGGAGTGATGATGGTCTAGGTCGTGGCTGAACCAGAACCATCGAGCCTTCCAGCAGCGTCACACCTGAGCCCTGTTGGGCGGCAGTGCTGCGCCTCCTTCTGTGGCTGACGGTGACATGTTGCCATGCCGCTTCTGCGGCCGCTCGACACGCTCATTGGCCGACAGCGCGGCTGTGCCTTGGGCAGCGCTGATTGGCCGCCACGCTGCCCCACCCACGTCCATGTCACCCGACTCAACTCAAGCCGACGCAAACCCTCTGCAAACTCGCGCATCCCGCCGCTGGCCAGGAGGGAGAGATTACAAAACATTGTCGCGCATTTTCCACACCGACCTGTGCAGGATGACGCTTTCTTGTCGTGCGCATGACGAGCAGACCAAGCAAAGGGCTGTTGAGCGAGTCACCTGGATGGCGTTCTGATATGGACGCGTGCCCCAAGCTCCCAAGGTTTGTTACATCGCTCTGGGGATCAACACTTTCGCATTGTGGAGTCATGGCACGGATGCAGCCGCTTTAGTTGTCATCGCATTCATGCGTATTTACATGTTCACTGCCCGCTCGTACACTTAGTGCTGCCAGCTGCTTCACAGCCTTGTTTGGCGCCGGGCTAGGTTTGCCTAATTGCCTTTTGGCCCCCTGCATTTCAGCTCCGCTCCATGTTCGTATGGAGGGTAGGCAGCGACAACAAAGTACAGAGAGCACAATGGCCCTGCTCATTCTGTCGTCATAGAATCAAGTCTGCATTCTGACCCCTGGGTGATGCAATATCGGCAGACGCGGTGACTGTTTTTTTTTCTCTCCCCACGTTACACGAGTACTGTAGCCCCCGGACGTGTACGAGGGTCATAACTAACATCTGGAGAAACATTCCTCACGACTCCAAAAGCTTGGCCTCTAATTCGTCGCTTTGCCAGCGGCCCCGTTCACTAGCGGCAGAGCCAGCCACTGCCGCAGCCCACCCTTCCACCTGCACCCTGCCCGCGCCCTTCGCGGGAACGCGCGAGAATGTCATGAGGCTCCCTAAAGCCTTATATCCACTTCAATATCGGTCTCCCCCCTCGCACCACCTAAGCACCGTTACCCGCCGAAAAAATCACGCAAGGCTAAAGATCTACCTGTGAAGCATTCAACGCTACTACACACCATCCACGCGCGCACCACTAGTTGAACCCACGCGCCTTCAACATGTTGCAACCGCCTCGAGAGCCGGCCTCGAGGCCGCTCAGCATAAGAACAACTGGCACCACCGCGACTCAGGGCGACAAGACTGGAGAAACCTGGAAGATGAACGTCACCGCCGAAAACTGCTGGGAGGACCTTATACTTACCCTGGGTACGTCGGATCCTTTTATAGCCTTGTAGCTCTCCTATCTGCATGTTATCCAGTTGGCGACTCCTGTAGCTGTCCAATACTGTGATCTTGTCTGGATGTCCGTTTTTTGGTCGGCAGCAGCTTCAAGTATAGTAGTGTAGTCAGCGACTAGCGCTATCCGTAGTCTGACTTGCAGATTCCTGAAGCTTATGTTTCCAATGCTGACGTTTTTGTATAGATGGCGGGGGTATACGCGGCTATTCGAGCCTCCTTATCATACAACAGTTAATGCATGAGATCGCCGAATGTGAGCGCCGAATACAAGATGAAGAGGGCCCAGTACCTGGCACCGAACGCCGCGATTTCAAAGAGGACGAGCTACTCCCATGTCACTACTTCGACTACATGTACGGCACAAGCACTGGTGGACTCATCTCTGTTATGCTTGCTAGGTTGCGCATGACCGTACCGCAATGCCTCGAAATCTATCGTAAAGTCGGTAATGAGCTTTTTGGGCATAGAAGGAACATTCTACCCCTAGCAACAAAGTACGATCATAAACCACTTGAAAAGGCAGTACAAGACATTGTAAGGCAATATTGCAAGGAGCATGGCAAATGCACGGGAGACGATTGGTACCCTTGGCGCTTGGAGGAGGATCAAGAACAAGCGCCTATGGAAGCATCGGGTGTCGGTTCTCTACGAAGTGCAACCACATGGGGTAGCGGCGCTCCAGCTACCAGTTTCAGGCCAGTGGAACGCATATGTCAATCGTAAGTAAAGCCTCCTTACCTGTAGTTACCTAGCCATCTATAATTTCCTTCCTCTTTGCTAACAAATGCTAGTATTTGTCTGACCGCTATTCATTCTGGCCAAATCGATGAAGCCTATCTTCTTCGTTCTTATAACCACCAATACGACCCAGAGATCGCCCCGGCATGGGTTACACCGTACAACACTGGTGCCGACAAGATGAAAATCTGGCAGGTGACAAGAGCAACTTCAGCTGCACCATTTTACTTCGAAATGCTCACAGCCGAGTTTGCGAATGGTTTGAAGAAGAATTTTAAAGATGGTGGAATTCGCGAGAACAACCCTTCATATGCTGCTTATAGCGAACACGCCTCACTGAAGGGGGATGACAAAGAACCAGCACTTCTGCTTTCAATCGGAACCGGGCGTCCAGATACATCCAATGACGGTTTCGCCGCCGCCTGGCCTGGACCCTTGGGCAAAGTCAAGGTACTTCAAAAGTGGAGCGAAAAGCTGGCAGTTTTCAAGAACCTCTTGATCAAGTACACCGAAGGTGAAGACCGACACAAGATGATGCGCACAATCGCCAAGGGAGAGCACCGATGGTACAAGCGTCTGAATGTGGACAAAGGACTTGAAGGACTACCGCTCGATCACTGGGTGAAAGGAAAATGGACGAACCCTCAAACCAACGAAACGAAAGTAGTGAATGGAGGAAAAACCCTTACAATCATGGAGACGGTGACCAGGGCGTACCTTGAAAGAGTAACAATTGCAAGCCCCGGAAACCTGACCGAATACCAACCCCCCAGGATCGTTCTCAGGCAAGTCGCCGAAAGACTAGTGCGCCATCGAAGACTCAGAGAAGCCACTAAAGGAGAAGATATCAAGAGATGGCAGACACATATGGGACAATGGTTGACAGGCGAGCTTAAACCCGAAGACGCAAAATTCGAGCGAGTTGTACCAAAGTCAAGAAAAGGCTCTCGAGCCTTTCTCTCTTCATCACGACCCATGACGCCTACTGGAAGATGAAGAAAACATTGTCTTGGAAGGAAAACATATATGGACTGCCATCTTCATTATCGCCCAACCATCGCCTGGTGACTGCATTTTGCAACTGCAACACATTACACATTGCTGCACTTTCACCATCTGCAACAATATATGTATCTGCCTGGTGTAATCAGCCTTAGCGAAAACACCTTGACCCTACCGCCGGGTCGGTGTTTCTCCTGCGCCGAGTCGAGCTCTGAACGCACTGCTCCCTGTCTTGCCACATTTCTGACTTCACTTTACAATCACCGCAAGGTCATAATACTTGCTCGTCGAAGAAGTCATATCTGAAAAGATGGTAATGGTTCTGTCATTCATTCGTAAACGCAATAGTAAAAGAGCCAAAGGCCCTGCGACAAAGATATCAATAAAGGCAATAACTCCCAAATTCCGCTCCAACCCAACCAAGACCGTTAATGCTGATGATCACCGTTCCCCCTCTACCGCCACCACATGATTATCTGGATCCCCAATTACAAAAAGAGACCGGCAAAGCCAACAAGACCGGCAAAGGCCGCGGCCAAGGCGACTGTGGGCGTGTTGGCGGAGTTGCCAATGGGCTGGGCATTGCCTTGGAGACCACCTTGAGTACCTTGAGTACCAGTACCGGTGCCGACGTTGTTGGTGTTGCCTGGGTTGTTTCCGTTAGGACTGTTATTGTTGTTGACGTTGTTTGGATTATCGTTGGGGTTACCGTTGGGATTACCGTTGGGATTACCATTGGGGTTACCATTGGGGTTACCATTCGGATTGCCATTGGGATTACCGTTGGGATTGGGGTTGTTGGGGTTATTACCATTGGGATTGTTACCACCAGGGTTGTTGTTGCTTGGTGGTGGGTTTGTCGGGGTGGGGCCAAAGCCGCCGGGACCTCCAGGCCTTGGGCCAGTTGGGGTAGGACCTAAGGGCGCGCCGCTGGCAGGAGTGAAACCACAGTCACGGACGAGATCTTGAGCGTCTACAAGGAGAGCATTAGTCACGTGTCAAGAGGAAGAGGAAGAGGAGGGAAAACATACCATTGTCGAATTTGCCGCCGTTGCGCCAGATGCAGTCGGCACAGTTGGGGATCTGGGTGTTTGCGTTTTGGGCGTTGCAGATGCATTGGCGCTCAGCGAAGTCATCGTCGTCTGAGATATTGATTAGCATGGTAGGTCACATGGTCAAGATGGTTCAAGAGATGAAGACTTACTTGGACCTCTGTCGTCACATCCGGTTGTTAGGTTGACGACGGGTGTGCAAACATCGATACAATTGCGTGGGACATCCTCGAATTCGAGTTTGTCGGCGAGGCCAACGGCGGAAAGGGTAAAAGCAATGGCGATGATATCGTAACGCATTATGGCTGATGTTGGGTATCTTTCAAATGGACAAAGTTACTGAAGAAATATGAATATGTGTATACTGTATGAAACTGTTGCTCGTGTATGTTTGTGCTGCTATGTGATGAGATCCTTTTCTCCACGCTGGGACCCAGCAAGTTATATACAAAACATCCAACCAACTGCTCGTGTGCTTAATTTCCCGTTTCAGAGCATGTTTGATGCCGGGCCCCACGAGGTCAGTACACTACTATGCACCATGCAGCCCATTCCGCCCACACGGACACACCTACCACCTACCCATAACACCCCAGGTACCAAGCAAAAAAACGCACAGACAATGACGCGGATGACGACTAGCAGCAATGGCAAAGCAAGACCCTCCTGCTCTCTCTCTCTCTTCCTTCCCTCCCCCGCTCCTTCATCGGCCCGTCGTCGGTAACGACCACGATCGGCGTGTGGCTTCACGGTCGTCGCAACTGGGGCGGCGGAGGCAGGGCCAATCCAGTGAGCATGTAGCAGCAAATCCCCCTTCCAAGATCCGCCGGGCGGAAAAGACAGTCATGACACGCTTGGCACGGCTCTATTATGGGGGGTAAAGTGCACTACTTACAGACTTGAACAACTGTACTTACTACCGCTGATCTCCGCAAGGGGAAGAAAACCCCCTCCAACTGGCGGGCTTCTCGGTCGTCTTACTCACAGCCTCCATCCACGCGCGGACGTAAACCGTCCTTACAACACTTAGCATGTGCATACCACATGGTCTTGAGAGTTTTTTGTTTTTGTTTTTTGTTTTCTTGACAGCTGGGTGTAGTATCCACTACTTTGCGCTGTGCGCTGGCGATCCGCGGCTGAGCAGAATGTAGATGTTGGGTATGAGGAGATGGAGATTGACTACTACTACGTATGTGTATGTGGTGTAACGACGGCGGCGAAACAAAAAAAGAGAGATGAAGCGTGAGAAGAGCCAAGCAAGAGCTCCACCCCCGGACGACTCTTCTTTCTGGTATGAATCCTGGGAAGGGAGGGGGGGGTGCTTGGAATAGTCTCCACCGGAGGGACACTGGCCGCCAAGCCCTGACATGGAGTCAGCCAAGCCAAAAGGCAAAACAAGACGGTGTGCTGTGTTCCTTTTTTTGGGTGCTTTGACTTTTCCCATTTTCCTTTCCGTCTGGGAAGACCCTGGGAATATGTTTTTCTTTGGAGGGTTGTTTGCGCTGGCCAACCCGCCTACGCGCGTTCCTTTGCGGCAGTGCAGGTATGACACCCTCATGTGACTTTTCTTTCTACTACTATTCGTCCTCCGCTTTTTTTGTAAAGCACGAAGTCTGGCTTGGATTTCTATTGGTTGGTTAATTCTAAGCTTCGAAATCTTTGACTTTTTTTTTGCGCCCAACGGGCTTGTAGGGCTGAGATGGAGATGGGGTGTTCGGTAAGGTGCGGATTAGGCATGATTTTTTTATCAAAGGGCTATGCAATTAAACTCCCGTCATGCGTCACGTTTTTTTACACTTTGCTTTACTGCTGTTCTTTTCTTTCCCTCACATGCCGCATAATTCAGATTCTTATTTCGCTGGACTTTCCCTTTCCTACTGTTATGTATATTAATTCTAGGCTAGTTAGTAGTAGCAGTGCTTTCACGCTTAGGAAATTAGGAGGAGGCTTTTTTTCTCGATTTTACATAAGAGACTATTTTACTTGATGAGGGTGAACGCGGAAATGACATCAATGCTCACCCTACCACTTGCTTAGACAGTTTGGCCGACATCACGGCCACGGCAGTGTCATAACTTTCTCCTTTGCCAAGGCCCCGATTACACAGCCCAATTCCTTGCGCCTCCCTTCTTCCTTCTCCCAAGCCCAGCCTAGCCCAGAACTAGTAGCAGCTTACACGTAGATTATCAAGACGCCAATAGCCCAGACTTGTCGCGGCAGGGTCGCCCTATTTACCTCTACCGTGCTTACCTCACCTAAAAAGCTTGAGTGTAAACCGAGTATGCGTGGTTTTCTTCTTCGCCTCTCTTGGGTCTTTCTAGTCAAGACGGGAGAAGCCCAACCTTCTTACCTCACCGTTGTCTTTTCTAATCTTGAACAAATCATCCATCTTGTTTTTGTTCTTAGTCTTAGAAAAAGTCTTGGGACTTGCGTAAGAAAGAAGCCGTGTATGTGGCTTAGTATCACGGGTGACCCCTAGAAGACAAGATGGAAGAGAAGCTTGGCGAGTTAGTGTGGGTGTAAGTATATGTGCCGTGCTATGATTTACACTGCACTGCCGTGTGGATATAAGAAACGGCGGTCAAGTGCGGCTCGGGAATAAGATGTGCAAAGGCCAAGACCGGAGATTTTTTTTAGCAGCAGTGGATTGTCGCGGGTTGGCGATGCGGGACGGGAGCGAGTGGCTGCAGGTGAATGGTGGGGGATGGACTACGTCGTAAGCTGTCGCGTCAACGATATACGTGGTGCACTGGTCACGAAGCGTGGGAGCTTGTGATTCCAAGAGGCTACGCAGTCTACGTGATGCGGGTTGGGTGGGCTTGGAGTTGGGCTGTTTGATTTTGGACTTCTTACATAACTGTGCTGACGCACTGTAAGGCTGACAGACGAAGAGGGACTCTTGATTCTTGGTTTGCTCCTTCTTCCTTATAGTATCAGTAATACATCTAGGGTAGTCTCTACTTGTGTGGGTGAAAAAATAGTTGACTGCTCATCTTCCTGACATTATCTGTTCCAAGTGTCGGAGCTACGCAGTGCAGCCTCAGGACACGAGTATCCATTGTAATTTCCATAAGGAGTTATCTTTGCAAGGTTACTCTTTAACAAAGGTATTCCGACGTCGAAATTTCTTCATATCGTGGTTGGTGGGCCATGTGTTCACCTTCGCGCTCCAATGGCAAGCCTGTACATTCAAATCACTTACTTCCCAACGTACGCCTACAAGAACCCTCTGGACAGAATACATACAAAACATACCCGATGAATCGCAGTCCCTAGTTCCAATCCATTCCATCATTTGTCCCGACCGTTTGACCCTCCTTCCATTAGGAATACACATCAAAGCCCTTGTTCGATATGCTTTAGATTACTCCACCATCAAATGCATCCAACCACCCACTTGACTAACCGAAACTCCCAACCCCAACACGTTCCCCCAAACCGTAATCAAAGCAACACTATCGCGATTTCTCTGGCTCTTAAATGCCACGACACGCGAACCACAAAGCGGAACAAACAATGACCTGGACTGTCCCACGGTACCATCATGAATGCAAATGGGCTACACCTATCCTCAGTCGCCAAAGCGATAGTAACCTGGGATGAAGAACAAGGATAAGTGATGCACTGGTATTTTGTGCGTGGGAAGAAATATGATAGGATTAACATACAACTATCGCAATAACGTCACCCCTTCTTTCCTTCCTTGTATCCAAGCACAATACACACCCAGTTTCTTCCCTTTTGTCGGCATCTATCATGCAGTAAAGCTACACCACCTAAATCGAGGTTTTTCTGTCATGTTCCTATTGTTTCAGCGAAGTAGTTTCTATTTTCTTAGCAACAGCACCGCATATCGCATGTATCCCGCTCGCTACTAGTATTCTCTTACTCAGCCACACGTGAGCCAGCACTCTTCACGCATTCCAAAAAAAAAGACTAAGAAAAATGAACACGCACCAATGGCTCATTGAGCACTGCCCTCTGGGAGCCACAGGAAATGAGATGGATCCAGTTGCAGGACCTACTGGCAACTCCGATACACAGGAGACACCGATTTGGCCACAAAGATTACTAGTTCGAGTTGATAGCCACCATTCAACCCAAGATACACCCGACTCGCTACACAGTAGCAACGAATCGCGCGAATCCGAGGAAGAAACAGCACCGAGCAGCACCCCCGCCACATTAGATACACAAGATCACTATGAATTACACCCAAGTATCATCTCCAGTATCGAAGCCCTCCTCCAAGACTCCGACAACGACAACGAACCAGTCGATCTTCTAACCCCTTCATCACCCCAATCTTACCCCATCTCGCTTGCTGAGCAACAAACCATGATACTCCACCAAGACCTCATCTCCCTCTTCATCCACCACCGCATCGCCGCAACTACCTTTTCCGCCCCTTCCCCCTCCGCCCTCCTCGCCACCGAAGAAATGGAAACCCTAATGTCCCACTACGAAACCAACCTCATCTCCCCCCTCTACTCAGGAATCTCAACCCGCATCCACACCAGCATCCTCTACACCGCCTACATAATCTCCGACCGCACCTTCTTCCCGCGGTCCCCCTTTACCAGCCTAGCATTCAGCTATCTCAGTCCCCAACGCTATCTGGTGAGTAGACTGAGGTACCAGAGGGTGTCGAGCGAGATGTTGGTGGTGTTTCAGAATTCGCAGACGCTAATGAGGGAGCTGGAGGCGGTGATGTGGGGGCGGAGACGGTATTTGAGGAGGTTGAGGAGGTATCCCGAGGTTGTGGCTAGGACGATTTGGATGTTGGATCCGACGGTGACGCATAGGTGGGTTGGGCCGTTGGTTTTGTAGGGAAGGGGGATGCACGACGAGAGAGTGTTGGTAGAATGAGGGGCGCGTGTTGTGCTGCATTTGCGTTGGAGAACGATTTGGTATTGTTTTGCATTTGGAAGTATTTTTTTTCGCTATTTGCTATGGGCTAATTGGGTATCATGGTTACTTTGAAGGACCTGATTTTACGGATATGTAGGACCCTCGATAATTTAGATCAGTTTGAACAACTTTCCACCTACACCATCCCATTCATCGTCCCATCTGTGCTCGCTTTCTTTGAGAGCGCCTACTTTTAGTGTCTCTCTTAATCTGCTATCACTGCCGAAGAATGTAGCCAGATGCAGAGCGAGCTCCTCAGGGCTCTGGAATCCCAGGCCATTTACACCTTGCTTCACTAGCTCAGGCCATGCCTCGAATTTTCCCCAGCCCACGACGGGCAATCCGGCGCCAAACATGTCGACGACTTTCATTGGGAGATCGACACCTGAGGAAGATGTATGCAGCGAGACACCGAGATCAGCAGAGGCAAGAAGGAGAGCATAATCGGCATGGGTAAGCCATGCCGTCTTGATGATGACATTCTGCAGCTTCTTCTGCTGATTCAGCTCGTTGATCTTGGAGAGATAGTATTCCTTCTGGGGTCCTTTGCCGGTGATGATGGCAAGGATCCTAGGCAGATATGTTTTTGAAGTGCACTCGGCAGAGTAGGTGACGAGAGCAGACAGGAGGAGAGAAAAGTCTTCATCGGCTGTCCAAGAGGTTGCGCTTACGATGAGTTTCCAGGGTGTCTTGGAGCTAGGTGATAGGTCCTTTGCGAATTCAGCCGTTTCCGGTAGTCTCTTGAGGAATTTGGCCCGCTCTTCGGCCCCGATAGGTTGAAACGCAGATGCTGGACGATCATGTAGGGCTTGTGCAGTGACTCCATAGTCAACTTTGAGAACGCGGGCCATTGCGTCGGTTACGGTGATGTGGTGGGAAGCTGCCTTGGCAAATATTTTTTCATGCCTCTCCGATATTCTGACAAGGGGGTGAGAGTCACCAAGCTTCATGGCCAGAATGGAGTAGCCAAAGTTATGCCAATCAATGACCAGGTCAGTGCGTCGCAGGAAGCAAACCAGACTCGCAACTGCAAGTGTTGGTATCGAAGGAGGATTTTGGACAAGCGTCCATCTTGCCGGCTGGGAGCGGTAGCCTAGTGCAGTGTACAAGGAGAAAATCTGCCAGAGTACTTTGAGAGGAGCCAAGATGGGGAAGAGAAGCCTGCTGCTTGAACGCAGGCTAGCGGGTGCTGGAGAAAGGGGGATGATTTCAATCAATGGGTTTGAGACTATCTCTGGGAGTATTTCAGACTCTAGGATGCGGTCAGTTGCTGCGAGTATGGGTACTTGCGGACATGATTCACCTTGGTAGCCGATAAGAGTGACTCTGGCGCCGTGTTTAGCGAGGCTCAGGGCATGGTATTGCATGCGGGGGGATCGTCCGATATCGCCCAACACGACAACCTGGACGGACCGCGCATTCTTCCATTGCGGAGGCTCCTTTCCATCTCTTGTTGTTGGTTTGACCTCTTTGCCATGCTCGTCGACAAACTTTAGCGACTTGTCCTTGTAGGGATCATACTGGCCAGGTAGCGTGACGAGCAAGAGGGTAAAGAGCGTGGACAGGACAACGACGACAGTCAGCACGAGGGAGAAGAGGGGAGCGTACTTGTCTGCTGCCGCTTCTAGCGTGTCGTCGAGCATGATGGTGTTGATGGGGGGTTAAGATAGTGTTGGCCAATTGCGATGCACATGGTCATGCAGGAGAGAAGGCGCCACATGCGTCAATGATGCCAAGGATTGAAGTGGCGGTGCCCACTTGCCCTGCACCTGCCGCTGCGGAGAGCTGGGGACCGGGGGGGTGGACGGAACCAAAAAGGGAAGGCGGCTAAGGACGATAAGTGCTGTTAGGAATATGGATATGTTATGTAAGAGACACCCCTGACAAGACATGTCGTAGAGAGAAAAGACGGCCCCCCAATATTCAGACGTCGTGGCTACACCGAATTGCGCTCCTCTCTACTCCCCGTACGCTGTTCCTCTGGCTACTCGTCCATCCGCGTTGCGACGCGACTGAGCCTCGTTTCACCACCGCCAGTTGGCGCCCCTCGTCTTGGTGGGCTGCTTGACTGCGAGCCACGATAAATTCTACCCTCGCAGCACATGGCGTCGACATATGCCCTGCCCGTCACTCCGCGCTCCCATACGCACAGCCATGGGCGCTCGTCGTCACAGTACACGCCCGAGTCTTCGTCGTATACGGCCAGCCCCATCAACGGCGCATCTCCCGTCAGAAAGCACGGCCACCGACATAACCGGTCCGAGGTGAACACCAATGGCCAACTATACGGCGCTGTACGCTCCCAGTATCCTGAGTACAATGGCCACTCCCATGCCCACGATCATATCCATGAACACAAGCACGCCCATGCGAGATCGGCCTCGAACGACTCTACATACACCCTGAAGCCCTTCCTCAATCCCGTCATGGGCAGGTCCACGGGCAGGCCGCGAGGAGAGTCTGACCTTGGGCGCCCTCAGTCAAAGACTCCTCTTGCCAGATATGGCTTCTCGTCAGTGTCGCCCATACACGAGACGCCTCCCCATGCGCCGTTGGCTTCAACGTCCTCGTAAGCATTGCTCCGACATGCCTTCACATAGCTCGACTAACACGTGTTAAAGATCATGGCTGCAACTCCCTGAGGCACTTACTGCCCTCCTGATTCCCCTCCCGTACCTTCTCGCCGCCTTGGCATACCCAAACAATGCTCAATCCTCACCGAAAACCCCATCGTCACTGTCAGAAGCCATGGTAGAAAGTATACCTGCGATAGAATCTACCAAAGTTTTACCCGGAGCACCACTATTGCACGCCCTCACCCTTTCTTCGGCGACACTACTGTTAGTAGGCGTGGCAGCCAAAGTCAGCTCCACGCTGCAGCCGTTGGATAGACGGAAGGAAGACAAAATCAACCCAAAGGGTACCAATGCGCCTAAACGCATTGCCAGCAATGCTTTTAGCGTACTCCTGCCTTTCTACGCCTCCTTGCAGATTGGCGGCGCAAAAACCGCCCTCATCTTACTCATCGCAGTAGCAGCAGGAATTGGAGCGTTGGATCAAAAGCCAGGCAACCACACACTTTGGGACGATGCCCGGCGGACGCTGAGGACGCGCAAGGTGACTTGCGGTGCGCTTTTCCTGGCTATGCTCGCAGATGTCATGACTTCTGAAAGCACCTCAAGCCTTCTGATCGGCTATACAACCCTTGTGGCTTCGCTTTTCTTGGTTCCCCCACCTCTACCTACAGCGGCCTGGTCACTCATGACCAACTCACAGAACCAGGATTCATTCACGAGCCAACGGCCTCTTCGCGCCTCGCTGCCAAAACCTTCTTCCCCACTAATTAACACCTCCGAAAACCAGCTTCTTACACTTGCCACGGGCCTTATTCTTCTCGCCATCACCGTTGTATACTCGTTTATTGCTCCTTCTGGAACCTTTTCTCTATCTCAACATACTGTTGGCTTTTCGGCTCTCTCAATTACATCAGCGACGGCGCTTGTTTACTTTTCTCTTCCAGCATCATTGCGGAGTCAGAAGCAAGTCGGACTACGGCTGAGCGCTATGCTTGTTTTTGCTTTCACCTTTCTGGAATATGGTGGCCCTTTGAATACCGCATTCCCTTTCGTGTCCGTAATACTTATTGCAGCCGTCGGTTTTGACACACGCTCTCCAGTACCACATTCTCACGACCATGCACATGCACATGATCATGGCCATAAGCATGACCATCATCTTCACGGAAACCACTCGAGAATATCCGCATTTTTGATTGCACGCTCTACCCCTGGATCGATCATCCACAGTATTTTGATCGAAAGGGATTCGCGGCGCATTGCATACTTTGGTGTGTAAGTATCATCCTCAACATAATTGGTGACTGTGGATAAATAGGCATTTTTCTGACATGGTGTAGATTGAACCTGGCCTTTATGATGGTCCAATTCTTCTACGGCTTTGTTAGCGGCTCGTTGGGCTTGCTCACAGATAGTATTCACATGCTCTTTGATTGTGCTGGTCTTGCCGTAGGTCTTGCTGCTGCAGTTATGAGCAAGTGGCGTCCAAACGCGCGATTCCCGTACGGCTATGGCAAGATTGATACACTGTCTGGGTTTGCAAACGGCGTTTTTCTCTTGTAAGTGGTTGTTTGATCCCACAGCAGCTCAAGCTAACTTTTACAGACTTGTCAGCGTAGAAATCATATTCGATGCTTTTGAGCGCCTCTGGGAAGGCCACGAACTTCAGCGCCTGAATGAACTACTAATTGTTAGTATATTGGGATTCTTGGTCAACATAGTTGGTCTTACGGCTTTTGGACATGCTCACCATGGCCATGGGCATGATCATGGACACGATCACGGTCACGGACACGATCACGGACACGGACATTCGCACGACAACGAAAACATGCAGGGAATCTTCCTTCACATCCTCGCCGATGCTCTCGGCTCTGTTGCCGTCATCATCTCTACGCTTCTGACCAAATACTACGGTTGGTCTGGATGGGATCCTATTGCGTCGTGTATCATTGCCATCTTGATCTTTCTCTCAGCCATTCCTCTCGTCAAATCCAGTGGAGCGAGGCTTATGCTCAGTCTGCCAAGTGACGTCGAGTATGGTATTAGGAACGCATTAGGAGAGCTGGGTACACTGAGAGGTGTGGTGGGCTATGCGGTGCCCAAGTTCTGGCTTGAAGATGAAGGAGCCGCGCATGGCGAGGCCCATGCAAAGGAGCACGCTTGCGATGGCCACAAACACGAAGAACTCCATGATCACCACGAACACGATCATTCGAACTCGCATTCGCACGATCACAACCATGACCATCATGGACACGACCACAGCCACGATCATGGCCACTCACATTCGCATTCACACTCTCATTCTCATTCGCACTCGCACTCCCATCATGACCATGACCACGACCACGACCATGATCACGCACCGAAACAACGACGCATCCTTGGTGTAATCCACGTCATTGCCTCACGCGTTGCAGATCTCGAAGACGTCCGGGAGCGCTCGTACCAGTTCCTCAAGGACCGCGGCATGGACGTCGTTATTCATGTAGAAAAGGAAGGCGAGAGCCGATGTTGGTGTGGTGGTGGTAACGACTACAAACAGAGTTAGTGTATTACTTCTTTGTATGAATAACAACTAGAGTAGAGTTTGAAACAATCATTCTTCTTGATAAAGGCAACATGGTATTTTGATTCATGACTGCGTTTCTACCTTCATTTCCTCAAGCCCATTAAACACATTTATCTAGTCTTGATATAATATCCTCTTCAGCCCGAAATTAAAAAACTCCACCATCTCATACATATCTACCTTTCTTACCCCTCCGTTCTCACAACCCCCGTACTAGTCCTAACATCAAACTCGACCCACCGCGCCCTCCCCTCCGTCCTTCCTCTCCGTCCCCCACTCTCGTCAAGACTCCCCGGATTCATAACCGTACACCCGAAATACTTGACCACGAACGGCGGGGCCTCCGCATCCGCAAGCACCACGCTCGTAGGCAGCGGATACAAACTCATCGCATGCGCAAAGTCCCAATGCAGAGGGCGCGCGGAAAGCGGGTAAGGACTCAAATGAGACTGGGAGAGAATTGTACGAGTAAGTGCGCGCGCGATTTGTGTGTCGAGATCGACATCTGGCTGTTGCTGTTGCTGCTGCTGTTGTTGGCGTTTCGGCTGTGCAGGAGGCGGATGTACCAAATCCAAATCCATGGAATCTTGATGCTCGAGATCGCGAGCTTGTTGGCTGGGTGCAAACGGTAATTCATCGTCCGCGTCGGGCGGTGGTTTGTTAAAGCGAATGGAGTTTCGCTGGAGGCGACCTAGGAGATCATCTCTTAAGATGGCCATTTCACCTTTCACACCGAACCAAGTGAGGCGTGTGGGGTTGGAGGTCCAAATGACTTCTCCTTCTTTCCCTTTGGCTTTTCCTGGCCCCCAGATTTCGCGGTTGGCTTCAGCGACGACTTTGCGAATGCGGGTTGTGAACATATTGGGGATGGGTTTGCGGGGGAGGGGGGTTGCGGCGCCGGCGGAGAAGGCGCTGGGCCAGGCGTCGTTGTCACCTGGGACGAGGACAAGTGCTGTATGGGCGATGAGGGGTTGGAAGTCTGCGAGGACGGAGGCGAGGGCGTCGAAGTGCTCTTTATATTCTATGCTGCCGGTACCGGGGACGCCGGCTAGACTGGCTTTGGAACTAAAGTTTCCCATGAGGATGATGGCGAGGGGGTAGACGGGGTGAACATCGGTGGGATCGGGTGTATATGTGCGTAGGAGGGTTCGGAGGGCTGATAATGTTGAGGGTACGTCCAGGTGGAGATCTGATGCTATGACGATGTTGTGTGCTCGTTCGGGTTCGAGTAGTTTGGACGCAATCTTGTTCATGCGCGCACCAGTTCCACGCTGTGAACCGACGCCCAAGAAATCAGTCCAGCCGAATGCTGGGCCAGCCAGACTGTTCTTGTCGACTTCCTCGGCGCCGCCTAGTGTCGCTGTTCGTCGTTCACAGGGGGGGTGTCCGATCGAAAAGGAGAGGAACTTTCCGCCTATCGTACCACCAATACCACCGCTACCTCCTAGCGATGAGCCTGCTCCGGAGTCTTCTTCATAGCTGCCTTCAACCAGTACAATCATGCCTGGTGCAAAGTACGCGCCCTTCTCGGGTATCGGTCGCGCATGCTCAATATCAAGCGCAATTGTTCCCGTGAGGTCAGAGAGTGAGAGTGCTCCGGTTGCTGAGACAGTGAGCATACCCAGTAACAAGTGCGTGCTTCCGGTCCGCCCAAGCAAGTTGGCGATTGGTGTGATTGTGTTCATCTGCGAGGTTGCAATTGATCCTGTCCGACTCAGAGTAGCTGACCTAGCTGTGCTGAAAGTGGGCGCTTGAAACGTCTCATTGCGGAGTATGCGCTGATGTACAATGTGATACCGCTGGCGGAAGAGCTCAGTCTTATGTGAAGGATCTGGGAAGAGCGATGGCTTGGTGGAGGATCTAGCATCGTTAGCAGAGGTTGTGAATAGTCCTAGTACATACTCACTTGTCGAAATGTTTTTGGTTGACATTGTAGACCAGCTTGGGCTGCTCGAAAGCGCCAATAACCTTCATCCACTCCCGTGGGTCTTTTAGCAAATCCTCTTCATCCTCCTTGTCTTCCACCTCTAGGCTTGATATGCCGAAACTTGAAGTAGTGTCCAAGGATCCATGTGACGTCTGGCCGGATATATCTGGGCCGAAGTTGAAACTGCTTTGGCGTCCTACGGTCGAACCCTGAACTATTCTGCCACCACTCGTGGACCCTTCTAGTGTCTTTAGTATGCTCTTAAACGTCTCATTGTCTCCTTCCACAATGACTTGCCCACCACACTTCTTCCAACTCTTTGCAACTTCCTCGAGAACCTTCTCTGCTAAGCCTTCCTCTCGCCATCCTGAACCGCAGTGCTTTCCAATAAATGTGGCTAGGGCCTGCAGGGCCGAAGATGTGAGTGTGAGGTTGTGTTTCTTGGTGAAGGTACGGAACGCCAGCGGCCGTAGTGTTGCTGGGGGCAGTAATATCGGAAGAACGGTCGACTTTGCAACTGGCTTGAGTGAGGGCGGGGCGCGTATTGGGGCTGTTCTGCGCGGATTGATTGGGTGTACTGGCGTTCCAAATGCGGGCGAAGATGAGGGTATGGCATCCGACACTGCTGAAGGTTTCTCTGGGCGTCTCGATGTGGCCATTTCTGTTGCAGTGGCTGTAAAAGTAAAGGTGTATTGTATAGGCACTGGCGTCGTCGGTCTGGAATTCCACTTTACGCGCGACGCGGTCGCGCTTTCGCGCTAAAATCAGCCCGCTTTTCCTAGCAACCACCAACATTCCCACCCAAACATACCATCCAACACCGTCACCTTCAGTATTGAAACTGCGCAGTATTAATTCTGCAGTCGCATTTCACACAAGAATCCCAAAGACTCACTGCAAATCACACAACATGGCTGAGCCTACTACTGAACCACTTGCGACCGTCGCTGAGACTGACGACATTCCCAAGACCAAAGAGAAGCTATCAGAGCTTTCGCAAGTCGCTTCTATTCACTATTCTACCAAGAACTTTCCCGCCGCTGCAGAAAATTATGCCAATGCTGTCGAGATCCAAGCCGAGCTCAATGGCGAGATGGCGCCTGAGAACGCCGAACTGCTCTTCTACTACGGGCGCGCACTATACAAAGTCGCGGTTGCCAAGAGCGACATGCTAGGCAACAAAGTCGCACAAGAGGAGAAGAAGAACAAGCAACCGAAACCGAAGAAGGCTGCAAAGAAAGAGACAGCTGAAGGCTTGAATGCTGCAAAGAGCCAACCCAAGACAGAATCGGTAGAGAACAAGCCATATTTCCAGCTCCAGGGTGACGAAAACTGGACCGATTCCGAAGATGAAGATGAAGAGGCACAGGAGGACGAGCAAGAAGAGGACGACGACGACTTTGGTAACGCATACGAGATCTTCGAGCTAGCTCGCGTCCTGTACGAAAAACAACTACAGGCACTCAAGGAAGGTGAATCTGGAGACAAGGGCAAAGGAAAGGCAGAGTTGAGTCCTCGTGAGCGCATCATCAAAGAGCGGATTGCCGACTGTCATGGCTTCCTTGTCGAGATCTCATTGGAAAACGAGCGCTTCCATGATGCTGTAGCGGACGCCCGCAAGTCGCTTGCACTACAAGAGGAACTGTATCCCTTTGAACACGAAAACGTCACTGAAGCACACTACTCCCTTTCACTGGCACTCGAATTTGCATCCGTATCCAAGGTCCGCGAAGATCAGACTGGACAATCAACAGATGCACCCGCAGAGACAGAGCAAGGGAAGGAAGACGAAGACGGTGTCAACTGGGAGCTACGGAAGGAGGCAGCTGAGCAGACCGACCTTGCCATCCAAAGTCTGGAGGCGAGACTTAAAAAGGAAGAAGCTGCGCTGGACTCTGACGCACTAAAGCCCGAGCAAAAGAAGGAGAAGCAGGTCATCATCGATGACAAGAAGGGCATGTTGGAGGACCTCAAGACACGCCTTGTAGAACTCAAGTCGGACCCCACCAAGCAGCAATTCGATAGCATTGACTCGTCAGTCTTCCAGGGCTTACTAGGTGGCATGATGGGTGCAGATGCAGCAACCCAAAAGGCAAAGTTGGCCGAAGCGGCCAAGAACGCAAACGACGTCTCAGGCATGGTAAAGAAGAAGGCAAAGCCAGCCGCACCAGCGGCAACGTCTGGACCAAAAGATGCAGGTAGCAGTAAGAGGAAACTAGAGGTTGATGATAGTGGCGCGGACGAAAAGAGGGCAAAGACTGAGGAGCCATGATCAACACCTACTTTTCCACCGGGCGGTTCGTTGTTATCTGCCAATAAGGCTTATTGGATTTTACAAAAATGTTTAGCGTCACGAAGGGGAAACGTCAGCCTTCTGGGTTTACTATCTAGTTACAAGCCCTGGGCAACACGCCACTTCATGCAGAATAAGAATTAAATGCACGTCAATGAGTCCCCGTTGCCCTTCAACTCGGCATTAATGCATGTAGATGTTGTGGTGTAGTATCACGTGACTAGTTCACGGTATATATTACGATTTTCTTTCGTAGGTAGATAGGCACCCTTCTCCAATCAATCCTTTATACCGATCAAAATTCAGCTTACTTCTACTCGATTGCGGGTCGCCCCTCTGATCTTTTGAGCTCGATCACGTATCGTGCCACAATGTGTACATCATAGTCATGCTTGGCATAGACTATCGACCGTTGAAACTCGAACAAGCCACTAGTAAGGGCTCGTTACACTACTTACTCAACTTCCAACCGACCTTACAACTTACTACCGGGACTTGCATCCTTGCTCTTGAATCCCGTCAGGACCGCACCACCATCAATCTCGATAGCATTGCCCGTCATATGCGCGCTTCCTGCACTGCTCAAAAATAGCACCAAGCCAGCGAAATCGCTAGGCTTGCCCACCCTACCCGTTGGCTGTGTAGCCGTTAGGGAATCCGCAAAATTCTCCAATCCAAAACTTGTCATCCGCGAGGGAAAGACACCGGGACAAATAGCATTGCACATGATATTCTTGGGCGCGAGTTTCGAAGCCTGCATCTTGGTAAGGTGAATGCACGCCGCCTTTGCTGGACCATCTAGATCGCACACACCATTCGTCAGCAATTTTCCAAAACTAGTACGGGGATTTGTATAACCGCATTAGTGCAAAGCTGAATCGAGATCGTCAAAGGAAAAAAAAAGAAGAAGAACTTACATGAAAAAGTGCCAGTGCCTGGTTTACTCAGCCCGCCAGTCTCGCCCGTTGTGACATCCATGGTCGCTATCCCTGCCATGCTTGAAATATTAATTACTCTGCCGGGCGTATCCGCGTTGGCGCCTTTGAGCAGCAACGGCTCGAGCCCCACCGTCATATAAAAGATACTCTTGACATTAAGCGCGTACAGCTTGTCCCATGCGTGCTCGGGGTAATTGTGATAGTCGTCGCCCCAGCTGGCGCCCGAGTTGTTGACGAGCACCGTCAGGTGGTCTGTCCGCTTCTTCATTTCCTCGCAGAGGGCCAGACACCCCGCCTTGTCTTTGAGGTCGGCGACTATGTATTCGCATTTGCCTGGACCGAGGGCGTTGAGGCGCGCGCTTGTGGATGCGAGCTCGGATTCTTTGCGTGAGGCGATGAAGACGCGCGCGCCGTTTTGCACAAAGGCCTGCGCGGCCATTTCGCCGAGGCCTGTGGCGCCGCCTGTCACGAGTACGACATGCGAGCTGAAGTTGAAGAGGGTGCTGACTCGAAGGTCGTCTTTAGAGGCGGCGTGGGCCATGTTTTATTGGGCACAAGTTGCGATGCGGCTTGGGGGGTGTGGTACAGGATGGGCTGGGCAGTCTTCGCGTAGAGGTGAAAGATAAACCCAAACGCGAGACTGTAGGTACGCTGTCACTGTCCAAGAGCCTAGGTTGAGATAGGAAGGCGACGTGACTGAGTTCGCCATGATTCTCGGTACTATTGGCATAGCAATTGCAGATTGCTGGGGTTGAGCCGAGGTTCTCGTATAAGTTCTGCTGTGGGGTTTAAGCGCCGAATCCTTCGAGCTTGGCCGCGACTTCATGTCTCGGCCCTTGAACACGTAAGCGAGGTTGTAAAGAGTGGTCCAGATGTTGAAACAGTTGTCATCATGCACAACTCGAGTATGAACACAGATGAAGTATGCAAACAGAACAAGATCGTCTTGAGGTACCTTTGGGACTACTACTTTCTGCCTGGCTCTAGTGGACCATATACGCCAGTGGCATGGACTTTTCCCCTTTGGAGGATTTCAAACCCAATACTAGTGGACGGCGATTCAAATCCAATGCTTGTAGACGGCGATTCTCTCATGCACGCTTCAAAGATACCGGGTACTACCATTGGTTTCTTGAAGTCTACCCGCATGTGCAAGGGGATATTGTCCGGCAATGCCGTGTTTCCAGTGTCAGGCAGGCTCTGTAATGCTTTTGCAGCTACATGGTTTCCGTGTGCAAGCTTTCCGGGCAGACCGAACAGCCTTGCAGCGATGGCAGACAGATGTATGAAGTTGTAGTCCTTGCACACCGCTGCCCATTTCAAAGGATCGTCTTTGGATAATGATATTTGCGTACTAGTGCGTGTAGATCCTGACGTTGACGCATCATTTTTGCTTTCATCCGAGCTCTTCGAAATGACGCTGCCTGATGTCTTTTTGAATTCCAGCATGGTGAAAACTTGGCGGAAAATAGTCTGATACATGCCATTGTTCCTGGCGCTAGGGGCACTAATCGTTACTTGGAGAGACCACTCGATTCCACGCTTTACTCTTGTCGGTTCTGCGTGCATTACAGCATCCATGTACATCGAATCCATCTTCGTCAGCTTCTCTAGGTCGCATAATTCCGGACAAATCAGCTCGAATGTGTTACGGACGTTAACGGCACCCAGGGGATTAACAGGACACCACGGGCTGGCGAGTAGTAAAAGCATGCCCGGCTCGGTCATGGCCGAAAGAAATAGGACTAGCTGGCCATGTTTCAAGTGTGAAAGTTTACCCTCTCTGTGTCCAACTGCCCAATGAAAACGAACAATGTCTTCGGCACTTATGACGAGAGGCGAGTGGAGGTGCAACCCCACAGGCGTCGGGCCTGACATTTTGGTAAGTGAATAAAACATGGATTTGAGCATCATTGCAAGGATTGCTACAACCACTTCTCGGATCCGCAGCGAGTTTGGAGAAAACGCCAAGCTGCTCCTTTTGGATAGTAGAGGCAGCAGACGGAAGCCGCATAAGCCAAGTATTCCGAAGGCCGTGACAGGGGCGGACAAGAATAGCACAACGGCCATGATTGGTTGTGGGGATGAAACGGGTAGCCAGGGGTGTAAGTACACGAAGAGAGTAGACCCCTCTGCTGTCTTTGGAGAGTATTTTTTTCTGAGAGAATACTCTACAACGAAGCGAACGCGTGACGTCACCCTTTAGCGTCGAGATCTGGCGGGAGGCTTCTCCGTGGAACGACGGGAGGCGGCTAAATTGTGGAGCGGACAGGCCGATTGAGATGTGATAGACTCGGCATCACGATCACCCCACTAATGATCGCTTTCGCGTTCGCCTCTGGTAGTCCTATCTCCGCCAAGAACACAACCTCCGCCAAGAGGTATCATCTTTTCCTTCGGCTTATCGTCAGTCTCACCCCAGAAACATGCCATAAACCTGCTTATCCGGGGAATTCGACAACTTAAACTATCGCAATAGGCCAGGGTGTTTCGAATTGAACAGCGCGTAATCACCACACAAGCTACTGCTGGTCCGCCCTAGATGGCAAATTGATCCGCCCAAACGGCCCGTTAGGCACATTTGGCGTTGGATAGACGTCTAGCTACTAGTACACATGGCCCGCAATGGCCTTATGTACCTACAAGGGAGCAAGAGAAGATTTCCAACTAAGTAATTCGGCCGAGTCCAAACGAGCTATACGGGGGCTATGCTGTAGGGCTTCAGGGGTGAAGCTGAACATTACCTTGATGGGTATTTCACATTGCCATGGTGGCTTGAATCGTCAAATTAAAACTTGTTTCGAACCTTGAGACTTGCAAATCCATATTTGCAAAAGCGTCCAGTACGAGTCGAGACGAGAACAATGGTTGGACTCTGGTCGGTGGACACGCTGGTTACTTGTCGATTCTCTTCTCCCTGACACAAGCAATCCACTGCTTCACAATAAGGTTCGTACATATACTTATACGGCCTATACGATACGCAACGCGATACACAATATGTATCCTATTCCCAGTTTGCGGTTGCCGACATCATTTCCGCAAGGTAAGCACTTACGGGTCCTCTCCTGCAGCCCTAAACGCCGATCCATGTATGACGCTGCACCCACCAAAAATATACGCTGTGCCATAGGTTCGTCTTGGAAATTCTGGGAAAAAGTCCAGACGAATGATCCGTCACACCCATGCGAGGGCAAATCTGTCGCTACATGGCAAAGTTACGCAGTAGTCGCATCTTAGAGGCTGTGCAGCCATTGGGCCGAGAAGACTCTTGGAATGCGGTTAGTGTCCCCGACCCCTCATGGGTTAGGAGCACGCCCCTTAGGTTTGTGCATGCGGAACAGCTTGGAAGCGGCCATTGACCCCGTGATCAGCAGGTGGAGGACACGGCTAGCCACGAAACGCGTCCTAGCTTATAGTACACAGTAGTCTCTTCCGTTGACTTCCTGAGCTCAGTTGTCCCGACCCTATGTGGTATATTCTCTCTTCATTCGACTATTCCGGAACCCACATCTGGATCCATCCTTCTCGGCCATTCTCACGTCTTGCCCTGACACACGCGTGGGAGTAGTCTCGCTCCAATCGTGAGCAATGCCCAAAAGATCGACTGGTTGTTTTGAATGCAGAAAAAGAAAAGTCCGTTGCGATGAATCCAAGCCCGAATGTAACACCTGCTTGAAGCGCGGGACAAAATGCCCAGGCTACCGGCCCACGCAGGCCTTCATCCTTCATGAATTCGACACCAAAAGAGACAAGCCCGCACTGATCAAGGAGGATGAGAACCGCTACAAATTCGCCATTCAGAGTTACTCTCGCTCAAAGCAGAAGGGACAATCGCAGAGCAACCCTGGAATCCGGATAGAAAGTGTGCAGTATGAACCTGATATTCCCAAGCAAGTAAGTCTAGTTGCTTCGGAACGCATCCAACACGTCAGCACCTTCGTCGCACTATATCTTCCAAAAACCGAAGGTCAGGCACTGCCAGGCCCATCTGCACTGATGCTTGGTCTGCCTAACCTGCCCGCTAACAGCCCTGTTCTCGAGGCTGCCATTGATGCGCTAGCTGCAGCTCAGCTGGCAGTAGACAAAATGAACTCCCCTCTTATTCATCGCTCCAGGTCACTCTACAGCACAGCACTGAGCCAGATGCTGCACGCTATTCAGGACCAAGAGACGGCTCTCAAGGATGAGACGCTTCTGTCTACATATTTGCTCTCGTTGTATGAGGTAACAACCCAACATTCTGATATACAGAGCATATTGTTGACATTTTCCACAGGTGTTTGTCGGCATAACACGGGGTCATGGCTTCTTCTACCACACGCAAGGTCTATTGCATCTCGTCAAGCAGCGAGGACCATCTTCATTCGTAAGCAGATTGAGCATGCAAATCTACCACGGAATCCGATACAACTCGGTATGACAAATCCGACATCTCACGCCTCGCTATACCTGCTAAGTCTTCACAGTTAAGCATTGGCATCCTAATGCGGAAAGCCTCCATGCTCGATACCCCCGAATGGATGTCAGTAACCGCCAAAGCCGCCAAAGTCGATCCCTACGTGGCCCTCATCGACATCTGCATCATGATCCCGCGGCTTCTCGAACGCACCGACAAACTCTCGCGACCAGACTGCACCCAAGAAGAAATCGATAGCCTAATCGACGACTCGCAAAAGGTTGCCAGCGATGCTTTCGCCTGGATCGCCGACTATGAGCGTCATGGACCCCGCTACAACAAGGTTGACCTCGAATCAATGGAAGGCTTCATGGACATCTGCGACGACCGCGTCTTCGACCCGGTCTTCGACTTCCATTACTTCGGCGCGGGAATCTGCTACTTAATCTACTGGTCCAGCTTGCTCATCATACAAAGCAACACGTTCAAGCTCCTCCGCCAATACCGCAAACTAGAACCCAAGCAGCTCCTCATGTGGAGCCGTCAACTTCAGTCTTACGCCGACTCCATATGCAGAGGCGTGCCGTTTAACTACCGCGTCAACACTGGGTACGCGTCGAAGTTCGGGTCCCTGACTCCGCTTATGGTTGCGAGAAAGTACTACGAGATGGTGGGTGAGAAGGCGGCTGTGGCATGGTGTACGAAGGTGTATAAGCGAGGGAAGGTGCCCGAGTTGTATCAGGCAGACGAGAATCTGGATAACTATCCCCTAGAGGATGTCAAGAAGACTATCAAAGATGACCCAAGATACATCTGAGAAGAAGGAACTACAAGAGTAACGACGACGCGGGGGCGAAATGCAAGCGGATTCGGTGTAAAGGATAGTTTGGTCCTTGCCTTCCTGAGTGGAAGGTCAGCACACGCTTCGATCGGTACAGCGCTTATCATTCTATCGGGACCTACACGATTCGCTGTGTGATACACACCATCGGATCCCCGAGAGGATATCGAGAGTCCGTCGGGATTCAAGAAACAGAGTTGGGTGAGTTTCCACTAGGGAATGCCAGTCTCCAACTCTATCTTACGCTCTAGAGCCACGAACAACTCAGGAGCGTACGCGCGACGACTCTTCCTGCGTATGGTAGCGATATCGACGAACAACTCAAGTCCCCCTTGGACTCTACAACAACATGAACCTGGCTAGGGAAACGCAAGACTGGACGATACACAAGAGGGCGGAAATATGGGGTTTAGAAGGCCTTTAGGCGTATGTGAGGGCAAACAAAGTACACATACCCTTTCAACTTTCTCTTGACCAATGTATGCAACTTTTGCTGAACAGAATCTTTTTAGATTGCTAGAAGCCTTACATCTATGCTTCTACACAATCACCCCGTCCTTTCTTACCCCTTCAACTCTGTAATTAATTTACCCGTATTCCCTCCATTAAACAACATAACCCATGTCTTGGGCACATCTTCAAACTTCGTCGGCACCACCGTCTCCGTCTCCGGTCCTAACTGAATCTTGCCCTCCTTCGCCGCCTTGACAAGTTCCTCAATCATAGCCCCCGTCTTCCCCTGCTCCATCGCATCCAGCAGAATAAACCCCTTGACCTCAATCCGATTACTAATAACATCAACCCAATTCATAACACCGCCATCACCAGAGTTATACGTCGACACAGCACCACAAGCCGCAACACGCCCAAACTTCTTCATACGGGTAAGCATAAGCGACAAGATCTCGCCGCCCACATTATCAAAGTAGACATCGACGTATCCCTCAGTCGCAGCTCTCAGGTCCTGCTTGAAAGACGCAGACTGGTAGTCAACACACGCGTCTGCACCCAGACTCTCAACCCACTTGCACTTTTGCGCCCCGCCCGCAATACCAATGACGCGCTTGCACCCAATAATATGCTTTGCAATCTGAACAACCAGCGAACCCGTCGCACCCGCAGCCCCAGACACAACCACGGTATCGGCAGCAGTGGCGCGCGCAACATCGACAAGTCCATAATACGCCGTCAGACCCGTCGCGCCGAGCGCACCAACAAAATGCGTCGCTCGCGTCCCGGCGCTGGGGTCCGGATGGATGGGCCGCACGGTGTTGGCAGGGACAACCAGGTACTCGGACCAGCTAAGTAGGAAGTCCAGGACGAGCTGTCCGGGTTTCAGCGAGGTGCTGTTGGAGGTTACGACTTCGCAGATGGCGCCTGAGCGCATTGCTTCGCCCTTTTGTACGGGGGGCAGGTAGAGGCGCTCGGGCTCGATGTTTGTGATGATCCAGGCGCGTTGGGCGGGGTCGTTGGAGAAGTAGAGGGTTTTTAGCAGGACTTCGTCCGGGCCTGGCGGCGGGAGAGTCGTGGTTTGGAGTTTGAAGGTTGCGTTTTCGCCTGAGATGATGGGTTCACCCTCCGGTGGGTTGGCGAGGACCCATTGGCGAGTCTCTTGGCCGGACATGTTGAGAAAGTCGTGTTCTACCGTTTGTTGTCTTTCCGTGTCGTGGGGTATGTAGTGCGGGAGATTGGTAGTGGTGGTTGATGGGTGAGTGATATGTAGGCAGTTGAGTTTAGTAAATCCAGTGTGTGGCTATGACCCACCTTAAATAGCAATCAATCGACTACACGGAGTACATCCTGTCAAGTGTTAACAGGATTTCTGTGGCCACCCGAGACTTTCTACGTCCTCTAGACGTAACAACGTATACGGTCGACTAACTCTATCCAGTAACCTCCGAGGTGTATCGGCTTGCGGTAAATCTCGGCTTCTTCCATGATATCCATTTTTCTCGCATATTATTTGCTGCTTTGCACCTAGTGCTATCAAGTAGGCCAATCATCAATTCAATATTCGCCTAGATCTAGATGTGGAGACATCCGACTGCCGTGTTACATTGATACGTTGCTCTAAGGCCAGCTCAGTTGCGGGACAGTGATTTATGGTGGCTCTTGGTCGACCAAAGTACCGAGAAATAGATAGGTTCCATCAAAACAAAGCTATTATTTGTAATCAGTCGCTTTCACTATAACGTAGTTAGAAGATCAATTTATACAAAAATACTAGACTTTACGTATAGATTAACATACTATAGCAAAGTCTACGTTACTCTATAGTATCATTATGTACTTACAACTGATTGACATACTGTTGTTCTGGTAGGTGTAGTTTTCATTCGAATATTTCAGTCAACCGAGAGGGGTAGAATGTTGGGATGGACTAGCTTGGCACTTGAGCAATGTGGGGGGCAATGCTACAAGATTGGTGATTGCCGCGTCATCCATACAACAGTATGTTGAATAGGGATCGATTGCTGGCTACTTGTTTTTACAGAGTACCTGGTAGTATAGATAGATATCCTCGTCACTCACCATTTACCACCCTTGCCCTTCTTCTTATTCTTGCCTTTGTCGGCACCGCCCTTCTTCTCCTGAGCGGCTGGAGTGCCTTTGTCTTCTGCCACTACACCTCCCTGAGTGAGGCCATCCATCTTCTTCTTTCCTTTTCGTCCCTTGGGACGGTAGTAGCTCCTGTCGCGCATCGGTAACCACCTCTCGGGATCTACCTTCTTGCCCTCTACATAGTCCTTTGGCATCCTTGCCTTTCGTAACCTCTTGGGTTTCGACAGGACTGCATTAGTTGGTGCAAGGCTACGTTTCCGTGATTCTGCCACGAGATTTACTGAGGTGACGTTGCCAAGGGGGACGCCAGCCTTTTCGAGTTCAGCAGCATCGATGTCGGTTACTAAGCGGTTCGCTTCTGGCAGATATGCCAGGAGATCTGCGGGTATTGAGGCGGGATCCGCGACGCTGTATGCTGCAACAAGACCAGCAATGGCTGCTCGGTCTTCGTTGTCTTGGTCATACAAGCCCTTGAAGATTTCGCCTGCAGACTTGACGTTCTCTGGGTTGTGCGTATCAAGGAGTGCTGTGCCAGCAGCAACCATGAGAGACTTGGAAGGCGCCTCTGTCTTTGATTTGTGGGGCTTCCGCCAATATTCTGCAGCCTTTGCCAACTCGTTCTTTGATGCTCCTGGGCGCCCTTGCTGTGCGTACAACGAAATGAGTGCGGCGATCAGACCTGGCGCAAAGCGTACATCGAGATCGGATGCGGAGCCGCTTTGTTCAAGACGCTTGAAGAAGGATTCAAGAAGGGACGTAGCAGCAGCGTAGTTATTTGTGATTACGTAAAGTTGTGTTATCGTGAGTATGAGGCCAACGTCATTTGGCCTTTTCTCGAGCAACGGCAATATTGCCTTCAACGCAGCTTTCTCAGTACTCGTGTTCCTGGCGTGGGCTGCCGCATTGAGTACAGCCGCCATGTTGACAACTGGAGAAAGTGACGGAGCGGGAGTTCCAGAGATGACCTTTTGGGTAGATTCAGCGACACCAGTCACCTTTTGCGACAAGAGTGAGATGACGTATTCGTCCTCTCGGAGAATGTTCGACTGGTAGGAGAAGAGTTGATCGGTAACAGGAGGTTGAGGCGATGAATGGAATATACGATGTGAGAGGTAAGGGTTTGAGTGTTCTTTTGAAGCAGCAATGCTGTTCACTTGAGCGATGTAGCGAGTCGAAAGTTCCTTGATGCTGGTGCTGTTAGAAATTATGCAATACTGTTACGGGGGCATCATACTCAGCGAAAGGAATCTTTGTAGCCAGTTCTTCTGCTTCATCGGTTTTGCCAAGTTGTATCAACACATAGACTTGCTGTACTGTAATTGGCAGCAGCTCAGCCTGCTTCTCTTCCTCGCTCATGTCAGAAAGCGCATTGCACAGGTCCTTTGCGCGCTTCAAGCACACTTGCGCCTGTCCAAACTCGTTGCGCGAGATACTGCCGCATGCCGCATTGAATGCTGTCTCGAAAACCTCCAGATCCTCTCGTGTGGGCTGCTTCTTCTGTGCCAGCTCGCCCTGTCCAGTCCATTCCAATTGGGCGTCTACGGCTCCTGAGTTGATTCGAATGTCGTACTCCTCACTTTCGACGTTCTGGTCTGCAAGTTCCTTGTAGATCCTCGTGGCTTGAGCGAAGTTCTCAGAACGGTACGCCTGGGTGCCATTAGCCACGTATACGCATCCCCGCACATCCCACACCTACCGCTTGAGCAAGCATATGCTTCATTCCACGGCCTGCTCCTGACCCTGCAGCCTGTGCCACTTCTACCGCCTTGGCCGCATTCCCTGTCTTGTAGAGCGCATATGCATATTCGAATTGCGCTTTCTTCTGGACTTCCGGTGCGGTCTCGAACACTTGTAAGGCGTCTTCGTATCGGTCGAGGTGCAAGAGTGCTACAGCCTTGGTATGTTGCGCATCTTGATCGCCTTTGGACTTTTTGAGAGCCGCATTGGTGGCTTTGAGTACTTCGTCGTGGTCTTCAATGGTGGTTTGCGCAAGCAGCGTAGCGAGATCTCTTGTCGAGACGGCCATTTTTGATTAGCAATCTACTCGACCATCCGTCGGGAAAAACCGCCGAGATGTTGAGCTGAGTGAATGGCGCTGGCGGGGCGAGTGCGGAGGACGTGGTGAAGGCACGCGGGGGTCTGAAGGTGGGATGGGGCAAGCAGAAGCTCGCCTAGGGTCCCGGTCGCAAGGGACCGTAGGGCTGATGGCTGACTGACGCCGTCATACTCGTACCTCGTCACTTTGCTTAACAAGGCAGATGAGCAAACAAAAAACCTTAATGTAGCATGTAATTATCGTGTTTTTTTTGAAGAAACCCATTGCAATGGAGCTTTTCAAAGAAGCACACTGTAGGTTTTTGTACAGATAATCTAAATTACGCCAAGTCATTCTACGCCTTGCAAATGCCTCGTCCAGCACAGCATTGTATTTCTCCAAGCAAACCCATCCCGTACATGAAATGATGAAAAAAAAGATAGCCCAAGGCATCCGCCAATGTATCCGCCCAACAAGTGAAAACACATGTCATCCCCAAACGCCCACGCTATGCAGAACATCAATTCACGTCCTCAAACTCATCCTCTTCGCTTTCATCTCCCCCGTTCGATGCCGCTGGAGTAATGACAGCGGGCGTTGCGGCAGCCGAGGGCGTCGGAGCAGCTGATGATTCCAGTTTCACACGCTTCGCATCCGGAAGAGCACTTGGCGTACCGACATCAACATCTTCGAATTCATCTTCGTCCTCATCTTCATCGTCCTCGTCTTCTTCCTCCTGCTCCTTTCTGCGTCGCTCAGCCTCAATCTGAGCAAAGACAGCATCCAGGTTTTGATTACTAGCAATGGCATCACCTCCTTCAGTCTTGATGGTGGGCGTGTCCACCCCGTTGTCCTCTTGCTTGACAGCTGTAGTATTTCCGGCAGCATCTTTGATGACAGTCGACTGAGTATGCCATGAAGGCAATTGGTTTTGCATGGAGATTTTTTCTTGCCGGGCCTTCTCTGCCATTCGCTGCTTCTCGTTCTGCTCGGCACTCGATCCAATCTGAACGTTGATCTTCTCTGGTCCCGTGTCGATGCCCTTAACTGCCGTCGGTCGCAGAACTGTCGTCTCTATAACCTCAACCTGGGTGCCTGGGTCGACATTCCTGTCGCGAGGCAGCTCGATCCTCTCACTGATTATGTCTGCCGGCTCCATTGCCGGAAGGCTGCCCATACTCTCAATCTCTTTCATTGTCTCAATAAGTGGACCAAACAACTTGTTGAATTTTGCTGGAGTGTCGTCAATATCGTCTGCCTGGGCGTCTGGATCGATCTCGTCTAGTCGGAACCCGCATCTTGCACAGACAAAACCACTGTCGTCCGGTCCGGGGTTGTCGTCGGGGTGATCGAGTGCTTGCATGGTGGTGTATGTCGATTTGCATCGCAAGCATTTGAACTCGGGCTTCTCGGTCGTAGGTTTCGCATCTCTCTTGATTCCCTCGTCGATCTTGTAGATCTTGTACTTGATTGAATCGACGGCATGGCGCCAGTCAATGTAGAAGAACTCTCTGCTCGATGCTTTGTTCGCGCCTTGGCGCATGACATGTTGAGTATACCTGAGCCTGTCAGCATGGATCGTCATCAGTAGCATTGAAATACCTACGAAGAACACAAACCCGCCTCCCTGAGCTTACCCGCGACCTTGCTCACGTGCTTTGAGTTTTTGCCTGCATCCAGAATAATGGTCATGTCGGCCACAGGCAGCGCGCCGTGGTAGCATAGGGCATCCATGATTACAATGTGTTCTGTCTCGTAGAACATGCGGACCACGGTCCGTAGCAACTGCTTCACGACTTGTACGGGATCCTTTGCGCGCTTTTCTACAGGGTCCTTCATAGCGGCACCCATGGCGGCGACTGTGGAGAGGCTCCTGAGAGGCTCTCAGGAGGATAGGAGAAAAGTGGTAGACTTTAAAGGGCTTTGTTCGAATGCGCCGGACCAACGCGCCGACGATGCGGTTCAGTGGGTATAGCCTTTTACTTGTCGGGACAGTCGGCTCCCTTTCTACTCTTTGTAACGACCGTCCGCACGCGAGTTGACGTGACAGTGCGAGGGTGGATGAGAAGACGAGCTGAAGATGTAGTGTCTTAGGCAGAAAGCTAGAGTAAGCGGTGGTGCAGGCGGTGAGTCGTACCTGCCGCGCCAAGCCTGGAGCTTCAAGAAAATGGTAAACTGCGACCCCACAATTGGTCCTTCACTTGTAGCAGCAGACTCCTTCACCAAATACCTTACTCCATGACCAGCTGCCTTCTATCTTGGGGCAAGCTTTCAAGGAGTATTCTGCGATCATGTCCGACAACGAAGGCCCCCGCCGCGACCACGGTTCGTCGAATGGCGACCGAGGCGACAAGAAACGCAAATGGGCAGATCGCGATCGCAGAAATGCTGCGCGGGGAGGTGGTGGACGCCAGCACGGAAGCCGTCCGAATAAGAAGAGAAATATGGGGCGTAAGGAGCATAAGTGAGCGACTTTCTTCAATATCAGTCGGCCTGTCTAACTAAGCAAGTTCGTCACAATTAGATCGACGGGATCGCAATGCCGAACAGCAAGCCAAATATAAAGAGCAGGACGAGAAGGGCGAAAACGAGCGACCAGCCCTACCCGCAGCTTTTCCTGCTGAAGAGGTCGAGGCCGAGGAGCGTAGGCCGAAGCGCAAAGTCGCAGTCATGATTGGTTATTCAGGCACTGGCTACAAGGGCATGCAGATCGACAACAAGCAGAAGACAATTGAAGGCGACCTGTTCAATGCTTTCGTTGCAGCCGGCGCAATATCCAAGGCGAACGCGTCCGATCCCAAGAAGTCGTCCCTCGTGCGTTGCGCTCGTACAGATAAGGGCGTACACGCTGCCGGCAACGTTGTGTCCTTGAAATTGATCATCGAGGATGATGATATCCTCGAAAAGATCAACAGCCATTTGCCCGACCAGATTAGGGTCTGGGGTATCCAGCGAACCATCGGCTCCTTCAGCTGCTATCAGGCGTGCGACTCGAGATGGTACGAATACCTTATTCCAACGCACTCGTTCCTCCCACCACACCCTTCGAGTTACCTGGGCAAGAAACTGGAAGAGTATGCAGAGAAAGAGAATGACCTAGAGGGGTACCGTAAGAGGCAAGCCGAGGTCGTAGACTTTTGGCCCGAAGTCGAGGAGAAGCACATCAAGCCTATCTTGGAGTCTCTAGATGACTCAATACGGCCACTCGTTCTGGAAGCACTGTACAACGTTGATGCAGTAGATGCGCAGCCAGGTGAAGACCCCGTAATCGATGCCTCAATCGAAGACCAGCCCAAGGAAGAGAAATCTGCGAATACCGAAGCAGCTACGGAGACTGCAATGCCAGATGCAGACGAGACCAATACCAGTGAACAACCCAAAGATGAGGTCAAGCAGGCCATCGATTCGATACAGCAGAACGAACCCAACATCACTCTTGATGACTCCACCGATGGCACGCGCCCTCTGCCCGAAGGCGTCGTGAACCAGCCTGTGCTCGAAGAAGCCATCAAGACGCTCAAAAAGGCCTACATCGACATCAAGAAGGCCTACCGCATCTCTCCTGAGCGACAAGCGCGCGTCCAGGCCGCACTCGACAAGTATCTCGGAACCCATAAATACCACAACTACACCGTCCACAAAAAGTTCAACGACAAATCCGCTCAGCGCTACATCAAAAGCTTCAAAGTCGCACCCAAACCCATCATCATCAACGACACCGAATGGCTCAGCCTCAAAGTCCACGGCCAAAGCTTCATGATGCATCAGATCCGCAAAATGGTCGGCATGGCTGCCCTAACAGTCCGCTGCGGTACCGATCCCGCCATCATGGACAAGAGCTTCGGCAACGAGGTCGTACGTATTCCCAAAGCACCGGGCTTGGGTTTACTTCTTGAGCGCCCTGTTTTCGACTCCTACAACGCCAAACTTGCCAAGCAGCATGCTCGCGATCCCATTGATTTCAATAGATACAATGATAAGATTGAGGAGTTTAAGGAGAGGGAAATTTATCAGAGGATTTTTAGGGAGGAGGCGCAGGGGAATCAGTATGTTCACTTTTTTGCTTTATTGACATAGACTTGAGGTGCTAACAAGACTAGATTCAATACCTTTTTTACCCACTTGGACAATTACAAGGATCCGCAGTTCCTGTACCTGACGTCTGGAGGTATCGAGGCGACCAAGAGGAAGCGCGAAGATAAGTCTGTGCAGCGCAAGTTTGAAGAGGATTCTGAGGATGAGAATGCAAGTGGTGGAGAGGGTTGAGCAAGCGATCGACGGAAATGACTGGCTTATGATACCATATAGACAATATGAGTGTTGCATGAAGATCGCATGGGCACGGTCCCTATAATGGGAGCGTCACATTGCTGAATTTACATTTCATAGGGTTTCTTATTGAACAAGATTACGTTATGATTCTAGATGCTCATGAATCGATAGAGCATTCCCATCCACACACCTCAACGCCTTACATATTCATGATACAGACCGTTTCAACCTCAAAGTCCCTTCCCATCAAGATATTCCTGCACTCGTTCCAACAAATCTGCCTTCTTCCCCGCGATACTTTGACCCCTAGCACTTAGCCATTGCTTCAACACAGCAACAGTCTGTTTGTTAATCTGCCCGCTATTATTTATATCTGCCATCTGCTGATCTGACAAGCCACCATCTTCGTCATCACCATCTGCACCCTTAGACTCCTTCTTCACACGCTTAGCCGCGGGTTTCTTTTCTTCGACGTCGGCATCGGCTCCACCGGGACGTTTCTTAGCAGTAGGCTTGGCACGGTGTGCAAGAGCAGATTTTTGTTGTTGAGCGTATACTTCCTGGAACTCTTTGCCATAGTCCTCAATGTACTCGCCGCAGCGCTTGTCGATTTGTTTGAAGCGCGGTATAGTCTTGTCGTCTGGATGTTCTGGCAGCTCTTCCTCCAACGCGAGTGCTTGGAGGATGCGGTAGAACCATTGCAGATCGGGGTTGGGATATCTAGAAGGATCGTATATGCCCTTTGGTAGTTGGAGTTGCTCGATGATGAGGCGCATCTTGTCTGTTAGTGCGTCGGTAGTCTTGAGGGGTTCCTCGGGAGGTGTAGGGAACTGGCGAATATCGTCGGCGAAGGGAAGAGGTACGAGCCAGAGTCCAGGTGGCATGATTTGCTCGCCTTCTTCGTTGGTTTTCTCTTCGCCTGGAATGAGTGCTGCTAGAGTAGGTGCAGCGTTGCGGCGTGGAATAAACCACACCAAACCCATCTTCTTGGATTTCAGTAGCTTCCGCTGCAATGCAGAGAAGACACGCGTTGAGCCGATGTAGTCTGCCTCTGATGGGTAAATGAACGTTGACTTGTTCGTATTCGCCCAGATAGGTACGCTGGAAAGAGATTTGAAGCCAATTATACGTATGACAGGTTCACCGAAACATTGCCGTATCTTCGTGATTTCTTCAGGTGTGAATGTTATCGCGTCACCACCAAACTTGTACGCTTTCCGCAGCTCAGTCTTCTCAACGGTCCGCGCAGTATCATCGGCCATATGTGTAGTTGAAGAGGTGACTATCTGCGGTTTCTCTCCACCGACCCATACATAGCATGACTTGACATGCTCCTGGCGTTTGATCAGGATGTATCCCTTCACACCAATTTTCAAGTCGGGGCCTAGCTCCAGCGGCAATGAGAATAGAGCACGACGAGGTGTGGCTCTCGAGTTGATGGAAGAGATGAGTTGCTTCAGAAGAGAAATGCCTTCACCGCTCTTTGCAACTTTCGTGGTAGAAGGTATAGCAACTGGCGCATCTGGATCTGAGGGCGATGTTGGATAAACAAGATCATCGTAAAAGCGTGATCTATCGAAGCTATGGTCTGATTGTGAAATGGGGAATAGATCAATGGTGCAGCCCAAGTCGTATAGATCGCGGGCTCGTGTGATTGCGGCATCCTTATCTGTTTTAGCTTTGACTGGACAGTCGTTGTCGGTAACCAGGAACAGACGTCTTGACGAAAAGTTTGGTGCTTTGGTGGTGAAGATTTGATTTGCGCAAAAAAGTACTGTTGCTATGCTGGCTCCATTCTTTGCCGGCTTGAGAATCTTTTCAGCTTCTTCCTCGTCCTCGACCATGTCTCTCAGTCTTTTAACGTCTTGCGCTGATGGAACATCCAGGTCGGCTAAGAGATAGCAGTGTTGAAATGTATTGTCGCCATCTTTCAGATCCGTTTCCTCTGTACCAAACAACAGGATGCCCATCATATCGTTTGGATTTGAGATGATGCGCTGTTGCATTAATTGGTAGGCACATTTTAAAGCGGCAGAGGTTGGTGAGTCGCGTTCGGCCTTTTTGTCTTCTGACTTGGGCGGCTTCTCAAGCATACTGGGACTGACATTGATGGCGAAGAGAACAGCATCTTTGATAGTCTTATAACTCTGTGTTATGTCAGTACACTCCACAGATACCGAATATCAATTGACCGCACAGTATCGTCAATTTCCTCTTCATCTTCGTCTTCTTCCTCTTCACCTGCTCGGTTGTCTTGAGGGTCCGCCATGATGGAAAGCCGTGATCAAACGAACGTGGGAAGTGCCCTGGTATTGTAGCCCAAGACGGCGGTGGTTTGCTTGATTTCTAACTACTACCGCAGCGCGGCGGACTGAAGGTATAAAAACAAACTTCTGGAATTGTCGCATTACAGTCAAGGCGGCGGGACAACCCCAGGCAACCGTAGGCACGCGCCTTAGCTCGGACGCGACGACACGTGACCATAGTGGGGCACCTCCGAGCAGCCGATCCCCGGGCTCGATCGTCATCACTACCAAAGAGGCCGCGATTATTGGTCGAAGCTTTTCCTGCTCGGACATTATTCACTTCGGTGTTCTGGCCTTATGGCAGTCTAGTACATCAATTCGAGAAGACGCCTTCTTTCTCGTCGTAAACTCCATAATGGCTCTGCGGATATCTTGTTCCCGCGCTGCAAAGCGTGCAACTTCCCTCACACCTGCCACATCGGTTCTTTCGTCATACAGTGCGCAATGGAGAAGAGGAAATGCCACCGTCGCCCCGACGCAGGTTACGCAGGGAGAAAAGGGCCCAACTGCCATGGTATTCATGAACATGGGCGGGCCATCCACTACCGATGAGGTTCACGGCTTCTTGAGCATGTTGTTTGTACGGCTTCCACTTACGTGTCAATGGAATTGGACTGATCTGGATAGGCCGACAAAGACTTGATCCCTCTTGGACCCCTCCAGAACTACATCGGACCTTACATTGCAAGGAGAAGAACACCCAAGATTCAAAAACAGTATGCCGAGATTGGTGGAGGATCGCCGATTAGGAAGTGGTCGGAATACCAAGCCGCAGAGATGTGCAAGATTCTCGACAAGACTTCACCCGAGACAGCGCCGCACAAGCCATACGTCGCGTTCCGTTACGCCAACCCTCTTACTGAAGACACCTACAAGCAGCTGCTGGCAGATGGATTTGGAGGTGGCAAAGGTGGTCGCGCTGTCGCCTTCACGCAATACCCGCAATACTCATGCTCTACTACTGGTTCCTCACTGAACGAGCTCTGGAAGTGGAGGACAAGGCTGGAGGGCAAACGTGCAGCTGGAGAGACTGGACAGGAAGTCGAACCCGAGGGTGCGATAAAATGGAGTGTCATTGACCGCTGGCCTGCTCACCCAGGTCTCGTCGAGGCATTCGCCCAGCTCATCGAGAAGAAGCTCGCAGAATATCCTGCTGAGCGAAGAGACGGCGTCGTCATTCTCTTCTCAGCACACAGTCTGCCGATGACTGTTGTAAACCGTGGTGACCCATATCCCTCCGAAGTCGCGGCCACTGTTTACGCCGTCATGCAGCGTCTAGGTATGAAGTATAAGTACCGTCTGGTATGGCAGTCGCAGGTCGGACCTCAGCCATGGCTCGGTGCACAGACTTCAGACACCGTCAAGGAATACATGAAGAAGGGCCAAACAGATATGTTGTTGGTTCCAATTGCGTTCACAAGCGACCACATCGAGACGCTGTACGAACTCGACAAGGAGGTCATTGGTGAAGATGCTGAAGGTCACGAGGGTGTCAAGCGTGTAGACAGCTTGAATGACAACCGTGTCTTCATCGAAGCGCTCGCGGATATTGCCAAAGCACATTTGCAAAGCGGTCAGGCTTGCAGCCCTCAGATGACTCTCCGGTGTCCAAAGTGCACTAGTGAGAGGTGTCTGGCACAGAAGGAATTCTTCGCGAGCCAGACGCAGCATATCAATCCTTCTACAGCATAGTTTATAGATAAAAGCATCGTTGTATATATGTATAGTAACTTGCCAGTACTCGAGCCCACCATGCATGCTACCCTCAGGTGTAATCATAGATCCCTGGGAAAAATCGGTTTCCCAATCATCTTTGTCTTGTACGTCGCGCTCCTCGAACCGTCTGTGGCTTCGCAAACCAGGATGATGAATTGGAAGTAACGTGCTAGGTGTGCTTGCGCTAGCTTACCAGAAGACCACCAAAGTATGATCTCTTTGAAACATTTCCCTGTATTTCGTCATCATATGCTGTACTGCAGCAAGGCGGGTGTTTCTGAATGCGCATCGAATCGCAAGACGACGACGCCGTTTCCGCATACTCTCTGTCCTGAGGATCACTTTGTGTGCTGGTATTGTCGAACAGGCGTGGAGAGACTGTGTAAGAATTTGGATCTCTGATATGCGGAGGTACCCACGGTCCATCCTCGCTCAAGAACTTTTCTCTGATGGCCGAACAAGCCCAAGTGCGGTTCTGGATCTCAGAATCTATGTACCGTTTCGAAAGACCTGGCTGATACACTTCGATGTGTCTTTTGTTCATACAATCCTCATCTGAACAACAGGTATCTGGTTCCCGTGGCTCTGTACTGTTGACTATCTTACAGCATGGATCAGTATCTTTGAGGTTTCGTGCACCGGTGCATAGTCGATATGTATCTTTTGATCCGGGCTCTTTGGGAAGGGTGGGGAGGAGACTTATCATGGCTCCTGCTGTGAGGTAGATCGCATGGCTGTAGTATGATTCTTGCTTCGAATGTTTACAGAGGTCGAGTTCGCTGGTTATTCTTGTGGAAGACACTTCGATCCAGTCTTGATGATGATCCGACTTGACGACATGCTTTTCTTTGCCGTCATGGTCTTGGGATTGTTTGATTGTTATGTACCTGCCATTCATACAATCCCATTGGCTATAAACGCGAATCCCTGGCTCGAGTATTAATCCTAGATCCCAAAGCCCATCAATTGACGACGGGTGGTTGAGTGGAGAGTAAGGTGGGGCTCGGTAGATGTGCTCAAATGACTCTTTCACTTTTATTTCGAACAAAGACTTGTTCTGTTCTGATGCATCAAAAATTTCATGGCAGTCTTTGAGTTCAAGAGCTTGTACCATGTAAGCTACGAAGCATGGACACAAGGAGTTTTTGAAGACCCCAAGAAGTTGGAACAGTACTTCCTTGTCGGAACTGTCGTAATCAACGACGATGGAGGCTCCATCTGAAGCAATGGATCGGAGAGAATAGATGCGGTCCCGGGGATTCTCACACTCTCTCCCAGGCAGTACGTGGAAGAGCGAAATGAAGCTGCTACCCATGACCTTCTGTGATTCACACAAGGCTCCCAGATAAGTGTGGAAAGTTTGTGTCCTAGTATAAACCCGGGGGTGGCTATCTGATTGACCGCGATCGGGCACTAGCTTCGAGATACCTGGAACTTTACCAACCTCGACTTCCGAGTTGTTAGCAAGAAGCCTGAGTTTTCTCGCAGAGAGTATCTCTTGTGTAATCCATGCTCTTATCCAGTATGAATTCTCCGCTAGCTCATTCCAGTCTTTCTTCAGCTCTCTGTTTCGCTCTTTTATATGATTTTTCCATATCCTTAGGGTTTCATCATGTGTCTTGGGTTTCAAGGCGTTCAACTCGCGCCAAAAGACAAAGGCTCGTTCTATCCGATCACTGTAGCCCAGCCATCCAACAACCTCTCGGGCCCCCGAGTAGATTCTATGCATCATGGCAACCTGGTGGTTGAGCTCTGAGTTGGAGCTCTTATTGTGTCCCGAACGAGAGTTTTGTTTGATGCAAATGTAATCTGTCCAAATTGCGCGCTGTGAAATGGCATACTTTGGACGAATCGTATTCAAGAAAGTCCATAGATTCTTGCGGACTTGCAAGCTCTTGCCGTTGACTAAGATTTCTTGCTCATCTCCCTCTGGGCCCCATACGTAAGAAAGACAGTCATATTCGTCTTCTACATTGGTGTGCCACAATTCACATTGGATGAGACCGTTATATGACAGCTCAGGTAGAATTCTGAAGAGCCGGATCGATCGTTTGTTGTGGTCGAGTTTTTCATGCTTGAATACTGAGCGATCGCGGGTGGGATGATCGTTGTGTGCCATATGTTTGAAAAGATGTATGGTTGGGGCTAATGGGCATCAGAATAGGATAATGGCGAGTAAGTCAGGTATGGGGAAGAGCAGCGAAGAGCAAGCAATATTTGGACAACAGCTAAACACCCAGAAAGCGGTGAGGTACCTGTAAGTAAAAGGGGGATGGGGGCTGAGCAAGGTAGAGATATGCACGGCCAATACATCAGACCAAACGATTGGCTATGAACTTTCGGATGTGTTAGCCGGGGACTGCCTCAGGCAACGAAAGTGAAGGACCAAACATTGACATGAAAAACCCGGAATTCAGGTCATGGATAGAGAGGAAGAAAACTGCGATTATTTTACTGAATCTCCAACATCTAGTTATCAGTTCTGTGAGATGATTCCAGTGAAGCACACTATAGCCCTTGAGCATTAGTGTAAAGTCCTTCACCGTAGGGAGAATGCGAAGAGGTGCAAGGATGCGATCCTTCAGCCTTTCGCAATTGAATTCGTCCTCCTCTTATGTTTTTATTTGATTGAATGACCTTGAACGTTTCAAGCGACTGTCGACCGAATGCTTGTTGAGCATGCTTCTGGGTATTTGGTTAGTGTGATATTGAGGTCATCCAAAGTTGATGATATGGTGAGCCATACAGCCACTTTTTTCACGTGACATACTTACGAGTGTTAAAAACATACAGGTAAATTAACGATGCACCTGATCCTGAATATCTGTGAAGAGGCTCCATCTAATTCGGTAAGATTTCTTGTACAGGACAAGACCATAGCATTTGCTGCGTTGCAATTTTCTAGTTGTACACGTCCAACGCTATCCTGTCTTCCATAAGAGCGTTATACAGGCTGCCTTTCCGTTCGGATGGCGTACTCGGACCATTGCTTTTCACATTGATGGGGGCGATAATGCTGATGTCCCCGCATGTCCGTAATCTGTGATGCAGCGGATTTTGTTAGTCGCTAACGAATCAATACTTTATAGGGAGCACCGAGATGGCTGCGCAGATAATGGGAATCCTAAAAAGGGTCATCAAGACAACGTTAACAAGGCTGCATGCTCCGAGATGTTGTTGGGTCGGAGAAGATCGGGATATGGTCAGAATTGGCGTTGAGCGGAGCCTAATCGCTTAGCGCGAAAGCGGATCCCCGAGCTGGCGGAGCTGAGCAACTTTTCGAATCAACACCACCGCAGTCAACCCCGACTTCACCCCTCGTCCATCCTGCTCGCCCTTCACAATGCTGTCCAGGACAATTAGGCGGAGCATTGCCTCGCCCTTGAGGCGCAATGCCATCACCCCTGTTGCGCGCCCCGCCTTCAGGTCTGTCACCACCGACGCCGCTTCATCGCATACCGACCCGGCCAATGTGCCCTCAGTAAGCAATTCTCCCCGGTAGCCAATTCACGGGTTATCAGTACGCAATGGGTTACTAACCGCTCGCAGGAGGACGACAAGCCTTTTGAGATCCGCCTCTCGGACGAGGCATTCGAGACATATGAACTCGACCCGCCGCCATACACCATGGACGTCACCAAGAAGGAGCTGAAGCAGATGTACTACGACATGGTCGCTGTCCGGTATGGAACCTCGGAATTCTAAAATTTCCAATTGTAATGGCCTTCTAACGCGGGGAATAGACGCATGGAAATGGCCGCCGATAGGCTCTACAAGGAGAAGAAGATTCGGGGTTTTTGCCATCTGTCCACCGGTCAAGAGGCCGTCGCCGTCGGTATCGAACACGCCATTGAACGCGCCGACCATCTCATCACCGCCTACCGCTGCCACGGCTTCGCTCTGATGCGCGGCGCAACCGTCAAGTCCATCATCGGTGAATTGCTCGGCAGGAGAGAGGGTATTGCCTACGGAAAGGGTGGATCCATGCACATGTTCGCCCCCGGCTTCTACGGTGGAAACGGTATCGTTGGTGCTCAGGTCCCCGTTGGCGCTGGTATCGCCTTCGCATGCCAGTACACCAACAAGAAGAACGTTACCCTGGCTCTCTACGGAGACGGTGCTTCCAACCAGGGTCAAGTCTTCGAGGCTTTCAACATGGCTAAACTCTGGAACTTGCCCGTCATCTTCGGTTGCGAGAGTGCGTAAACTATCCCTCAAATACATGTTAAGTCTGCTAACTGGTCATAGACAACAAGTATGGTATGGGTACCGCTGCCAACCGCTCGTCTGCCCTCACCGATTACTACAAGCGTGGTCAGTATATTCCCGGTCTGAAGATCAACGGCATGGACGTCCTTGCCGTCAAGGCTGCCGTCAAGTACGGAAAGGAGTACGCCGCCGCTGGCAAGGGACCCCTTGTTTACGAATACGTCACCTACCGTTACGGCGGACACTCCATGTCCGATCCTGGAACCACATACCGAGTAAGTTTATCTGCTGTGTGATGTATGCTTCAAATACTAACAACATATAACAGACCCGTGAGGAGATTCAGCGCATGCGCAGCACAAACGACCCCATTGCCGGCCTCAAGCAGAAGCTCCTCGACTGGGGCGTCACCTCTGAGGAGGAGCTCAAGTCCATCGACAAGCAGGCTCGTTCCGACGTCGATGCTGAGGTCGCCGAGGCCGAGAACATGGCTCCACCAGAGCCTACTGGCAAAGTCCTGTTCGAGGACATTTATGTCCGCGGCTCCGAGCCTGAGTTCCTCAGGGGACGCATTCCCGAGGAGAACTTCTACTACACCGAGCACGACATGGGTGGTGAGAAGAAGCCTGTCGCCAGGACAGCATAGAGGCTCCCCCTTTTCTTACGAGATTTAGACGTCCCCCGACACATGAGCCGTAGGGGATGGAGCATGTGGTGCAGGGGAAGAAAGGGGAATTGTAATTCTAGGATTTTGAAGGCTTCCTACATGCTTGTAAACAGCCAAAGGAGCATGGTTCGTGCATTGAATGACATTCTTGAAACCACCCCTTTCCTTCTTTCCATTTTGTGGGCACAATGATGAGTTTTTGAAATTTACAATCCTCGTGTTTTTTGCAGCGTGATGTATGGCGTGCCTGTTGTCATGTTGAAAGGCGATCATATTGGGTTTTACTAGGGCCCCTTTTTTTTATCCATATATACGATGGAGGTTTATGTATCTTTCGACTAGCGATATCGCGTTGCTTCTCTATCGAGTCGTTGACCTCGGCGGATGTTCTGTATCAGACTAATATGTCAAACTGTCGTTGTGAAGAATGACGAGAAGTCCCTTGACTTCATGAGCTTACCCATGACGTACTAAGGAGAGCTAGTTTAAAAGAACTAAAAGAAGCTGTAAGCTTGTTTGCCTAGATTAGTGATGGATAGCTAGGGGTCATGGTGTTGTGGTTATTTTTCCAACACGCATCGAAGAAAACCTGCTTTTGCGGTCTCATATCTTATGCCTAATTCGAGTACTGTGAGTGGTGATGTGATGGCTGCTTCGTCGACTGTTCCATTTCTGAAATGGGGTTTAGTACTGCTAGTGAATGTGTATAGGGAGGCAATGGCGTGATGCCAAACGAGTGAAAAGTCCGGTCGCTTGGCATTGGCAGCATGGAGATTGCAGGCTGGGACTTTTTTCATTCTTTCATATGTGCGGTATTTCAGTATGTATGAGATTACTGGAAGAGCAATTGTGGAGGAGCATGTGGAAAGAGGAGTTCTTTTTTTTTCATTTGCTATTTATGTACGTATAGGGGTTATATGTATCTGTGTATGTGTATGCAATCTAGAAGCATGGTGTTCAGGAAGTGGACGGATGCTTGTTCGCGCGTCGAGAGTTTGCGGTTTGTGGTTGATGTTCCGTTTTCCTGGATTGGCGTTTTTTTGTTTGAAATCCGATGTCTTTGGTTATTGGTTTCTTTGGGATGATTGAATTGGTGATGTGTGTTGGTGGGCTTGGGTTTGTTTCATTCTCAAACCATTCTGTATACCTTTCTCCATTCTACGCTGAGATATACGCGACCGAAGGGCCACATGTCTGACAAACTCTGGCTGCTACGTTTTGCCCATGTGCAAACGAAGATGGAGACTGCTGAAGGCAACGAGAAGTGATGCGAAAAGAAGCAAAGGAGGAATGAGTCTTGGATGGTGTACAAATAAAGAAAAAAGAAGATGTGTGCGATGGCTAGTGCGATCAAAATGAATCGCGGACAGAGAACATGTAAGATTCTTTGTCGTATGTAATTCCTTGATTGAGCTACACCGAAACATCGTCTTGGTTAGAGAATGCAATACGACAGAGTGAAATGGACTGACCTGAGATAATCTGAACCCTAGCCTCAAAATCCTTTCTACACGGTTCTTCACAGTGCTTGCTGGCTCAAGGTATCGTTCTTCTTCATCACGCTCCCTTTCGAACCATTTCTTAGGAAAGTAGCCATGAGTCCAGATCAGACCTCTTGTAAGGTAGTCTTCCGGAAGTGGCAACTCGTCAACTCTCTCACCGTCATCAGGGAAGATGCTGGATGTGATTATGGTGTCGATGTTCCCTGAGTGGGTATGTGGTTGAGATCTCGCCTGAATCTCGGTTTTTACCAATGCACTGAGGACAGTGGCAATCACACCCCAAGGCATATCGGTCACTAGATCAGAAACGTATGGGTTAGAAGCAAACGACGCAGTGAAAGAAAGCATGACGTTTACGTGCGAAAGCACGTTCTTATCACCCAAGCGCTGGAGTGCGACCATAAAGACTTCGTGTGTCAGAGCTTTGGCGTTCCGGAATACTGGCTGGTCAACGAATTTTGATATCTCTTCAGTGATCTTTCCTGGAACAAAGGCGGGCGGCGGTATTTCTTCTTGACTAGAGATTGCCGTTACCCGAACGTCATCTTTCACAGTGGTAGACGAAGTATTCTGCTCGTTCTCTTGTAACTGGGAAAGGAATGCCTGGCGAAGAGGGTTCAGGTCCATACCGTATTCGAACCAGCCCGCAATGTTCGTGACGGCGACCCATACGCCTTGATCCTTCCACTTTGCCGTCACTCGACTGATATAGCTATCCAAGCTATCCATGAACTCAGTCTTGGCCTTTAAGAATTCTTCCGACGCCCCATTGTCCTTGACCGAACGTCCCAAAAATTGTAAACCATGGGGTTTAATGAAGCTGACATCGATGGGAAGAGCGTGCGGGAGACTAGCGGTGTTGTGATCAACGACCGGATCTAGAAGAGTCCGGATTGACTCGCGCGCACTTCCAAAAGGCTTGACGCAAGTTAAAGACCGGGAATAGTAGTACATCTGCTGGAGAGCATTAGGTCTCGCCAGAATCGCCAGATGGTGGTATAGACGTCCGACGATTGGGTTTTTGTCCGCTGCTTTCGTGTACCAGGATCGTGCTACGCCAGCCCAAGTGTCACGATCACGGACGTCCTCATCCTCAATAGCCATACGGTATCTCCCCAGATCACCCAAACATTCGATCCAAGTATCTTCAAATGCAGGAACCGTTTCATAAAGTAACGCCATCATCTGATAGGCCAAATATATGAAAGCCAGCATATAATCCATGCTGTCGGGAAGGCGCCGCCGAAGTAACTCCAAAAAGGAATGAATTCCATGCTTCCACATACGTGCAGGCATGGAGTATTTAGCTGCCAGGCGACGAAGCGCCTGAGAAGCAGAAGGATGCTGGCTAGCTAGAAAGAAATCATGATGCTCGTGTAAGAGGGTGCGATGTAAAGCTATCAATGCCTGCCAGTGATCAGGGGGTAGCTTTGTATTAGGGTCCTGTATAGCCGCTGCTTGGGCACGATCAACATGTATACACTTATTTTCAACCATAGCAAGTCCGGCGTAAATGGACTTGACCTCAGATGCAAGTTGCTCATGTGATATTGGCCGGGAGTCTGGCTGTAAGAGAAGGTCAGGGAAGCGCTCATCATATTGCGGATGGCTAGTGAGATTGGGCTGACGGGGCGCAGTTTGAGGTTTTGGCGTGCTCCGCTGTGTTCGAACAGGAGATCTAGGTTGAGAAGACTGGAGCTTAGTGCTCTTGGTCGCTTCGGCCGACCACTCACTGGATGGCTCAGGTGTAGACCGATGAGGCGACGAGGTGCCTTTGGCATTTTGTTTAGGATTAAAGAATCGCGGGTCAGGTGACTCTGATCTTAGTTTATCCGAAGTAATACGATAGGGATTTTTTCTTGAATAATCCAAGTCACTGACGTCAAGGCCGGACGGGGTTTTCCCCCGATGACCAAAGGCTTCATGCTCGGCTGGTCTTTTACGCGAAGATGGAGATGAATTAGGAGCAGACCCTTTTCCAGAGCCCAAAGTAAGGGTTGCAATGTCTGGGGCGGATTGGTCGCCTGCGGTTGCAATGGATGAGTGTTCCGTCCTTTTTATAATGTCAGATGCTGACATGGTATGTGGGGGCTGAACTGCCTTGGTGCTTACTTCAACTCAGCTGCTAAATGGTGGAATTTTGCTCTTGCCTGCTGCGCGTCTAATCCGATGAATTCCGAAGAATGCTCCGCCTTCCCGTGATCCCACAGCTGGCCCCAGCTCTGGAACACCCGACAGCTCCTATGCTCTGGAAAGGGACAGAGAAGCTCGGAAGCTGCCTCGGCCTTTGTCCTCTGGTTGCTCAGCGTCTTGGCGTACTTGGTCTGATGAAAACCTTCAACGCTCATTGTGCGGCTGGCTGTTTCACGTGTAGTTTTCGGATTGGTGTTTTCGTCCTGTGAAGTTGGCATGTGCCAAGCGATCTGGAACGTATAGTGATTGGCGGCCGAAAATACGCCCACATTACCCAAGCGGTTGCGCGCACTCGAGCAGATTGTGAGCTGGGTATTCCCAAATCACACTTCTGAGCTTCTTGGAATCAAATCTGAGCCTCGAATTCGCGCACTATTGTACATGGACCAGTTCGGGGCATTAGGGGGTGAAAAAGAAGAAAGTAGGAAAGACGCAGAGAATCCGGCCGGAACCGAGAATGGCGTTTGAGACGACAGGGACAGCGATCGCGCGTGTAATGAGTTCAACAAGTTCAAAAAGACAAGGATACACTGTATGACGTGAAGTGATAGACGTGAAGCTATGGAAGCGTCATGATGCTGTTCAGCTGAAGCGCATGAATGGGTGATGTATAACCTATCGAGGCTCTTGTACGCCACCAGTCACTAGGCAACAAGGCAAACAGGCAAGCAGGCAACAGGGCGCCACCTGAATTGCACCGGATAAGCTCGTCCTTCATTCAACCCCTGCCATGCATTCTCTTACGCTTGCAACGCACATACCAACCGCCTCCCGCGCTACACATAATTGAGTGCTGGGCTTCAATACTGCGCAAAAAATAAGGCAAAAACAACATAGCTCAAGGCAAATGTTGATGGGCATCATCATACCGAATATATCTTTGCTGAGGCTCTGCGGGCCATGGAGTGCCCGCCTGATTCTGCCCCACCTACCTGCCACGTCTCGATACTAGGCACTAGGTGCGTAGTGTAGGCTCAAAGACTCTGCATGGACAGCTGATACAGGTGAGATGCGAAGCAACTCCCCTGCACGTGACGAGACACAATCATAAGCCCAAGAAGTGGGTGGAAAGAGCATAGTTATTAGTGGAGTGATCGGAACACGCCCGTTTGCCATTCTCATCTCCCATTGCCCAACGGTCCATCCGCGCCTCAACCGTAGTACAAGAGCCAACATCGGATCTTCTCCTCTAATGGTACTTGCTCGTCATCGCAGCATACATGTCTTTTTGGGTGGAACACGCGAAACAGCAACAGAAACATGCTAGTCTTTCTAGCTATTCGACTGGATTCATACACGTGTCTTTATGCAACACGAAAAGAGTTTGCTTGATGGCCACACAGGCCGCTGTGGATTTATGAAAACAAAACACTACAAGTCAGATCTGCATGCACCCGATCATAAATGTTGCAAATGCAATATCTCCCGAGTGGCGTTTCTCGCGCTTAACATATCGCACATGTAGAGAAGCCTTGTGCTCTGGAAGTACGGTCAATTTCCAGTTGTGCGATTCAGTGCTTCCCGGTGGAGTTCCAGGCAAGCATACGTATGATATCAAAGAGTAAGACTACCATCACCCAGACCCTTTATGGTGATTCTAGTCCTCCATCATGAGATGAGCCATTCAAAGTAGAAGGAAAATATCGGTCAAACCATGGGGCCGCGATCCGGCAGCAAACGCATCAGCTCCTCTGCTAGATCCAGCCACCAGGACTCCCCCTTTTCAGACACCACATGATAATTTGTACAACACCCAGATATGAGGTAGGCAAACCCTACATCGAATCATGCACCTGCCATTGATGCCACTCCTCGGGATCAACATTGATGATGTTCACCGGATCATAATAGTATCGTCATACTGCTCTCTGGCTATTGGACTCTCGAGTTTCTCCAGAACATCATTCGGCGTACGAAATTCTTGCATAACTTGTTGACTACTAACATCTGTGCCGAGTCCTTACATAAAAATTGCTGCCTGCTACTACTAATATTTGGTTGATTGTCACTCTCGCTACTCAGTCCTAAGGTATGACAGGGTGTATGGTGAGACATTGTTCCTTGTTCAAGATAGAACCACGCGCTGCAAGAATGACATACCGAGCGGCCTCCAGGCAACACAAGGGTTTCACATGTAAGCAAGTGTTTGAGCCACAATAGTGCAAGACACTAACATCTCCACAGGAATGTAGTCCTCTGACGAAATGAAGCGTAAGAGCTGAAAGCTGATGGACCTGTTGTTTGATCTTGTTCGGACATTGGCACAAGGCAAAGCGGGATCGGGCGACACGTCTTGTTCCCCGGCCAGTGAAAGCTGCCGTAGAGCCTTGGGTGCTTCCGGGCCCTGGATCATGGTGTGGCTGCTGCTATTCATTTGTACTTACTTTATCCAACTAACAAAGAAGCATCATGCATAGATCACAGCGTCATCGTAAAATATCGACGAATAGCTATTAAACATCAAGGCCACGATCAGAAGACATATCTTGAGGCAGTAGACTGCAGCATGAAATATGTATCCGGTTTCAGCGATATCATGGTGCTGGCCTGCAAGGCTGAGCGTTGAGCTCTGCGACATTGATATCAAAACAAGGCTGAAATATATGCATACTGCAGCAAGGATCCCTTCATTACCCCTTGATAGTCGGTCAGCGTTCCAATCTAGAAATAAAATGATGATGCCTCTTGCTGGGAAAACGGTTCCACGGGGATGTGCAGAAATGGTAACTCGGATGGACACGAAAAGCTGAATACCGAGGTTGGGGCCAAAACATGTGGATCTGGAGCACCTGCACCCGCAAGGCTGACTATCAGACTTAGGGCTGAAAGAGTGGGGTGAACTACACACCGAACCACGGTTCTCTTACTAGTGCCGAATCATGCAGTCAGCGTCAGCGTTCAGGAACTCCCATATGGGCCCTCTATTATGGGGGCCTCCGGTTTGTAAAGTGAAATATCCTAAGTTTGGATCAGGGTAAGGCAAACAATATATCGACACCAACAACCCACGCTCAGGGTGTCAGACTGAGCGAACACATGACCAGTAAAACAATATGCACCTCGGATAAGACTCCTTACACTGCAGCAAAAGCACATAGGCTCACATCTACGCCTCTGATTTCAGCACATGTGCCCTATACCGATCAGCGTAGGCCAAACTGCCAATGGCATAAAGTGTTCCCCCACCCTCCACCCACATAAAGCGGTAAGAGCTGTAAGCCGCGCTTTCTAGATTATTTTATTTGCCTTATGCCACTATCAAGCAGGGTTTAGAGAAGCATATATAGTCCCCCAGAATCATGATGCTGCACGACCACGTTCGAGTGAACAATAGTACGATGGAGCGAGTGATCGAGATATGGACGGCACTCTGCGTAGGTACGATGTGCCACATGCTGCAGCCGCAATCTCGTATCTGAGGATGCGCCGGTCATTCGCTTATTTTCCCTGTAATTACTTTTTGCTCCATATCTGACAACGGTCAATATATGCATGGTAAGTGCGGGAAGCTATCAGATGGTCCTTCAGAAAATGACGCGAGCGTCTAAAACATCCCGCGCCAGGAACTATTTTCCCAGCATCGGAATGATTACACCGTACGGGTGAACGGATCACGAGGCGGGGCATCCGGAGTAATCAGGGCACAATTCAGGCTGCAACCGCATTGGTCTGTACTAATCTCAACGTATGTAGTATTCGTGTCGACAATGGGGCAATCCCTTGGGGGCCGAAACGCCACCAGCTGAGTCGATCAGTTCATATATTGATGAGGCTGAATAACTTGAGTGCAAGACATGTCATGCTGCTTCGAGTAATCCGTAGTTCGCATTCTTGCTGCCCATCTGCCTCAATCGTCACAATCAGGTAGAGAGAATGTCATCCAAACGCAGCTGTTGACATGGCGTATGTCTCGGTGGTCAGCTGCAAAAATGTATGTCATACGGCGACTCCGAGTTGAAAGACAAATTGGCAATTTGCCTCTGGTATGAATAAAGCTCCCAGCCACATGTTCAAGGAGCTGAGAAAGAGGCGAAAACGATCATGATGCTAAGTGCGCAGGTCCTTCAAGCTGAGAACTATAGGTATACGCGAAGCTATAGTAAGGGGCTCTATCTAATCGTGGTTGACCAAGGACATGGTCCTAAAACATGGCATGAATCTACCAACTGCCGAAACAAGAGTGGCCTAGGTTTTCAACACATTGGGGTTAGTTCCAGTATCGGATAGTTACACCGACGATGGATTCTTGTGTACGCTTTCATCCTAGGTGTATGTGGTGGGCAGCGAACAGGAGTACTGGTGACATTCACCGGATTTGAAAGCACAGACAAAGTTGTGCTTCAGCCCATTGATCCAGAACGACACTCACGCCATAGTATTCATGGAGAATAGACTTATCGACCATGATTCAATAATATTTGTAAGTATAGTGGAAACTCCTCCCGTGGGTACGAGGGAGGACGCTGCTGATGCTGTAGAAGTGATCCCTCCTTCTTTGTCACATTGCATATGCTCTGGAGATATGCAAAACACAGTCACAAGGACCTGAGCAATAGTTTGCGCCCATTTCTGGAACCTATTTAATTGCGCTGCTACCAGATTGACGTATCTGCCTTCGGAGATGCTTTGTTCAAAGCATGCAACATGCTTTTCCTCGGTCTCTTCTCTACATCATCCGTCCAACTCACTGCTCCAGTGCATCCCGGTCGAATACGTACGGTGAACCCAGACGAAGGAGCGGTCAGCATGCGAGAAAACGCCTCTCAACATCCAAGACAATCCCTAGACCTGCGTACAGCTCTAGCTCTATTGCCGGCCTCCTTTATGACATTTCAGATAGCCAACGCATCCACCTGAGAGATAGCCACGACACAGCCTTGGAATTACGTGTTCGCTGAGAACGGGGAAGCATAGCGATAGGGTGCTGTTCCAAGATTCTCATACACTGCTGACGACGAATCAAGTGGCTGTGCCTCTCATGATCAAATGCCAAGGTGGCGAATGAGTCGCCTTCACGGCTTATGGAGGTGATGATTGATTCTCATTGACGCGCGCGATAGGCCAATAGCGCTTGTTCAAAAGGGTCAGATGGAGAGGGAAATAGGGAAATATCCTCATGCTTATGAAGGAGCCCGTGTTCATACAGGCCATGAGT